GAAAAATTAGATGGAACACTCAGATTTTGTAAATAAACTAAACATTTCTGATGACTAACGCACTTTTGCAGGAAATAAACATACCTTCTTCATTATCTTTTGAAATCACAACATTCACCAACAAGAACAAATCACAGACATACATCGGAACAATACATAAACCCAGATCCCATTCATCTCATTAATTTTCAAAAAAATTGCAAAAAAATAGAACTGACCCATTTTTGCCTCCCATTCCGTCTGCTTCATTCAAATTCAGAACATAGACGCTCATTTAAGTCAACTATAGTCTAAAATTGAATAATGTTGTAGAATAAAACAAGAAAAAAATAATAAGAAAAAGGTAAGGTATATGATATTCGTGAGATTTCATCAAAAAATAAAATAAAGAAATATATTAGAAATTTATAGATTTTTATTTCGAGAATATAATGAATTGTGTTGTTTTTATTTTACTCCCAGAAAAAAATGAGTAAAAAAAGAAGACAAATCTGGGAGATATGTGAAATAAAAATAATTATTTACTTCTTGAATAGAACCTAAATAAATAAATGAACCTATTCAATATTTTTTCGAATAGCAACAAAAAGTGTGTGTGATCAATCAAAATGTGAAAAATGAAAGCCTCTATCAACAAATGTGAAATTGTTTTTTTTTTGCTTCATTTTTTTGTTGCAAGGAAGAAAAAAAACGAAAATGATTTGATTTCGAGAAAAATTGTCACATTTTACGAGCACATATCATTTTTTGACAGCAGCTGAGCATTATGATGAAATGATTGTCAGGTTGTGTTAAAACATGACAAGATAGATTTTCTGGCAGATTTTTTGCGAAAATATTGGGAGAAGCGTGGGCGAAATTGAAATTCGAAACGTTTTTCCCACCAGGTAAGCAGGTAGGTCAAGAATTTTTCTTACTTGGTTTGGCTGTACTTTTTCCCAAAATTTTCGGGAAACCTATAATTTTCCTTGGAGCTTCTTTATTTTGATCCAAAATTCAACATATAATCAAAGAAAAAAAGCAAAAAAATCTTTGGAGGAAAAGTTTATTAATTCTCCACAATTTTTTTCAAAAAAATCTATCCCAAACTAAATAAACGTGTGAGAAGAAAAAAATGTGTTTTTATTTGCTTTTCTTTTCTAAGTGTTGAGTTGAAACCAAAAGATTCAAAGATAGAAAAAATAAAAATAATAATATAAGCAGTAGTAACTCAAAAAAAATCAGAAATAAAATGAAGAAAAAGGGAAAAACAACATTTGGCTGGAACCCTAAATGCCAACCAAAAATCTGGTAAAAATCAGTGAGGCGGATTAGAAATGAACAATAATTGCCTCTCAATGTCGTCAGTGTTCGTATATTTTCTTCATGTGTAAGTCAGTAAGTAAGTATCTCTTTATTTGTTTTTTTCCTCATTTTTCTTGATTCCAAAACTTTTTTATTTTCTCTCTCTCTCAATTTACAAAAATAAAACGACTACTGAATGACTGACAAATTAAGCGACAGCTCTTAATTATAACCAAGTCAAAATGTTGTTTTTTTTTGTTGAGGAAGACAAGAAAAAGAAAAGGGGAAAAAGTTGAATGAAAGTAATAAGGCTTGGAAAAAGAGTTATAAATCACTTCCTATTTCTAACAAAATAGACTTGCACTTGGCCGCTGACCACAAACATTCTATTTTTTAAAGAACAATTTCAGAGTTTAGATTTATAGTACAATCTTGATGAAACTCATTATGAATTTTTAAATCGAGATAAACATTTGAATGAACTAAAAAATTCATAGCTTTTGGTTGATACAAGTGAAAAACTTCGAACTTAAAGAGAAAAACATTCTAATTTCCTCGTTTTTCCCAATGGACCACCGGGACTAGTTATGAGCTCATAAAAGTCGAAATACAGAATTGCACTTATTTTTCAAGTAATATCTGTGAGAAAGAATTCAAACAGATTCTAAATTGTTGACCTTACTTCAAAATTTCTACATTTTCTAATATTAGAAAGTGATCCAATCTGGACATTCTGAAGGTTGGGTTTAAAATGCTCAAGCTTTAATTGTTTTATTAGATGAGATATGTTATCGAAATTTCAGAATGTTCTATAATCAGAGACAATTTTTCTCTAGGGCCACCAGACAGAAACTAAAAAAATTTCGAGAAGCTCACAAAAAGACTGAAAATCAAGAAACCAAAAATGAACAAGAAAAGACGTCGCAAAGATGTTCGACACTGTTTGAATATTCATTTAAAACTAACTCGAATTTCAAAAAGTTTCAATGAAAAAAAGAACCCGAAAAAAAGGAAGAGAGAGAAAAGGTCCAAAAAAAGTGTTGAATAACAAATTAACAAAAAAAAAAGTGTGCTCAACAATGAAAGTTGGATGGAAAAGACAAAAAGGTCAAATATTATGTTTCATCATTTTGTTTTTATTTTACTATATATTTTAGGGTAATATTTCTCGAAAATAAATATGTCTATATTTTAGTGTGAGAATTTCAGTATGAAAATTGCGAATAAAAATTACCTCAAAAAAGTTTCGAAAAAAATGAAAAGAAATTTGATATTCGAGAGAACTTTTTTACGGTTTGTTTCAAAAAATTTTCTCATTATTATTAATTCATCAAACAAAAAAAACGAAGTTACATGAGTATATGAAAAATGAGAAAAATTTGAGTATGATGGACCATTTCCGACATTAGACATTTCCTAAACATAGTTTTTGTGGGTGGAAAATGAAAGAAATGCTCCACAAAAATCTGAAAATTTTCGCGTCATATCAAATTGCGTGTTAAAAGGATAAAAAGTTTGAGCTAATTTTTTATGTATAAAATAAGAGAGGATTTCGATTTCGTAAAAAATGTTATGAATCTGAAGAAAAAAAGGTTTGAAAAAGAGAAAATCACACGTTGTTCATAATTTAATTATATGTTTGAATGTGCATAAATTTCTAATTATTATTTTCGAAAAAAATAATATTTCTCCCGTTTTTTATGAAAACGCTAAAATAATAACAGGCTTTGTTTCTTTTTCTTCTTATTTTATTTTTCTAGGAAAAATAAAATCGTTATGGTAGTGTAGGAAACACAAAATAAAACAAATCCACGTTTGTGAAAAAATATCTGTTCTGAAAAAGAGAGGAAACATATTTTATTTTATGTTAGTGGCCAGAATAATGTTGTTTAGGATGAGATGAAAAATGAGTTTCGAAAAAACAAAAGGACCACCCATTTTATGAGTTGATTTATTAATTTTTATAAAAAAATATATAACGACTTTTTTTAAGCCGCGATTTTTTTGCTCTCTCTTTACTACGATGAGGTTTGAGATTCACAAGATCCAATAAAAAAACAAGATTTGGGTTTTAACGTGACCTCATCAAAAAAACTCATAAATCTAACACGAAAGCACAAGAATCACAATCAAAACTTTTGAAATGTGTGTTTGTTTTTCAACCAGATAGACCTGGAAAAGGTTGGAGAAAAAAAATGATAAAAACACACACCACACCCACAGGAAAATTTGAACAGGTGCTTTGACGTGATATTTTTACTTTTTAATTTATTTATCATTACTTGATGACACTTGTCTCTCAGTTCAACTGTCTGGGTCGGTTTTGAGGAAGCAAAAAGCTTGGAAAAATGAGGAAAAAATGGGAAATTGATAGAATATTGATTTTCTCGTTAATTAGTGTTGGCGGTCCGTTAAAAATAAAACAAAATTTGGAAATTCCCATTCCAGTTTGCGTAGGACAAACCAACAATAAATAAACCTCACTGGGTGGTCCAAAATAAATGCAAACTTTCAGACATAGAGACGAAAGATCTGAAACTACTTGAAAGCAAGTTTCTAATAGAAAACGACAATAACCTTCATTTTCTCACTTAAAAAAGATTGGTTGTCTCCGTGGCAAACTTCATTGTTGATGAAGTACATTCAAAAGAGTCAAACAGTACAAAAACATTCCATGGAAAGATTCTCAAAAACATCTCACTCAAACAGACACACACTAAAAAAGCAACACTCTTAAGAAAAGGCAAAAGCATTCAAACCGAACACCAATTTTAATCTATATCTCCATCAATCTTTGAGTGTTACTTTTTGCTCTCTCTTTTCTTCAAACATAACAAATTGTTGTTTCTTCAAATTGAGAAGCAAATATCGAGAAAAATGAAAATCTTGAAAAACCAGACGGTGTGGGTCAAAAACAAAATCGGTGTCGAATATGTCACTCACGGAATAAATATGCATGACCTTTTTTATGCTTCAGGCTAAGTTTTGCGTTTTATCTTTTTGTGTGTTTTTCTGTGTGTTGAGTTTTTGAAAATTAAGTGAATGAAAAACATGGTCACTGTCTAATGGATTTTTGAGAAAATTTTGGTCTCAATCCAACGTTTCTTATTGGGACCTGAAATCTAAATTTTCTATTTGGAACGTTACCCTAAAGTGTCGAAATGTTCTGGTATAAACAATTTTGAACACATCTTCTGATAATGTTTTTTTCCGAAAGAGCCATATAAGTTAAGCCTAACTTTGAGCCTAAGAAAAGGCTGGAATAGATTTTCAAAAATATAATATTTCTGACAAATTCAGTTTTTTTCCAAATCTTGCAAAAAAGCTCATAGGACAGATTAGAGGTATTTCAGGCTACGAACCTCAAATAGTTCAAATCGTACTTCGAAATTGTTGCCATTTCCCAAAGTAGAAACTATAAGAATATTAAAAAGGAAATATTCAAAAAGACCATAAAAACTTCAAAACATAAAGGTCAATAATTTGTACATAGTTATTGAGAGAAAAGGGGGGAGGAAAAACAACAAAATAAGCATTTTTTTGCGGCTCCTCTACTGGAATGGTGCCAAGGGAATCCGAGAAAAATTCAGAGCACAGAAGAAAAAAAGAAACACACATACTCACACACAAATACACGAATATTATGTCCGACTTTTTCTGCTTTGATTGAGTGCTGATAGGTTTTTTGCATTTTTTAAGGAGAGAAAAAATGAATATTATCGGGACAAGTATTCTTCAAAGTCAAGAGCACTACAACTGAAAATTGGAAAAAAATATAACTCTGAAGACGCAAAAAAAGAAGATTGAGATGAAATTGGTTTGAAATTAGGTTAGATACAATACGAATTTGTTCGCACCTTTTTCTTCAAAAAATGGAAAGTGCTCGGAATGGAATAAAGTGGAAAAAAAATGAAAAAGACGACTAAAAAACGGATGTAATATACCGTACTACGAAAAAGACCAATTTCGGACAAAATCTCATTTTAGCTAGCTGGCTCTTCTTCAATTTTAACAACACAAAAAACCTATTATTTTGCGTTGAAACTATTTAACTGAAGAAGAACGAACACGTTATTCAATTTAGGGAGGAAGGAAAATAAAGGAAAAATCCTAGTTTTTGCGATTATATGTGTATATTTTTAAATAGGAAAACGAGAATGAGATGAATGGAGGATTTTTTGGGATTTATTTATTTCATGCACATGCAGGATTTTTACATTTTCTTAATTGAAAATAGACTTTCTTACCTGTGAAGTATGAAATTGAAAAAGAGAGAAGGGAACCCGAGAAAATAGAAAAAAAGCGTACCTGATCAATTTTTCCAAACTTCCCATCACTGCTGGATGATGAAGAAACGATCCTCCTGAAACAACATTAATTCTATTTTTGTAGGAATTTTTCAAAATTATGATATAACAACGTTGTTCCGTCAGTGGTTCTCGGCCATTTTCATAATATTTCAATTTTTATATTATTTGTTCTCCCTCTCTTAACTATATTTCGGGGAAAACTGATAATGGAGCTCAAGCAGCGTACTGTGAATATGTTGAAAACCCTAAAGCTCATTTTCAACTCCTTCAATATCTCTAAAAAATCTCGACAATGAATATTACACTTCTGAATTAAGAATTTCAATTTTTTTCAGATTTTTTTTGAGAAATAACATGTTCGCTTAGATTTGTAATGGAATTCTATTTTCAAATATTTCCGAATCTTTCACAACTTTAAATATTCTACTACTTCTAAAATTTTGAGAATCCCCTTTTTCTATTATGTTTCGAAATCTTCTCAAAACTCCAGTTATTGCAAAACAAAAAACTACAATATCTCAAATATCCTATTATACTCATTGCCTTTTTTGCTCTCCTCATTATCTTCAAATTTCCGAGCGAAGTTCAAAAACAAAAAAAACGTTCGCTGCAATATTTAGCCACCCAAGGGAACATCTAGACCTTTGATTTGTTCTCCTTTTTTCTTTTTGCTTTTCCAGAAAAAAAAACACATGAAAAAGCTCACCAATTTTTTCAGTATTCGAATCTCGATGACCACGAACGTCGTGATGTTCACTGTATCTTACAATATCAGGTAGATCAAGCACTTCAGGTGGTGGTCCTCCGCCGCCGCTCTCTTCAGAGTCGCTGAAAAAACATTGATTGTTTTTTGTTGTTTAAAATGAGCAATCAATCACATGTTTGGATTAAAATGAAATGAACATCTTAACTTTTAATTGAAAGTAAATCTCTATGCTCAACGTCAGAAAATTGAGAAAAAAAGAGGAAAAAAGTTGACCATAAAATGAAAATAGAAAAGGAGTATAATCCTCAGGACGAACCTTTTAAAGCTAAAAAACAATAGGAGAAACAAAAACAATTGGCTGTGGACACACGGAAAAGGAACAACGAGCAGTTTTTTCGTGTTTTTTCTTTCATGCTTTTTCAACTTTTTGCTGTCTGTTCAACAATGTTAAGAATTTCAGCGTAATTTGAACAACAAGTTGATTTTTGTTTTAAATGTGAGGTGGGTTTTTCTAGATAAATATTCATTCTAATTCTAAAAATTTCGTAGAAAAATATACATTTTTCTGATATTGTATACCTCTATACTCAAATAGTTTCAGAAAACATCCTACTTTGAAATGTTTATTTGCAATATGCGGTGCGAAATCGTTCATTCTGCTCTTTATAATTCCAGCCCTATTTTATTACCTCAAAATTTAGAAATCCCCAAGAATTTTCTAAATTCAAAAGCTACTCAACTACTATTCAGAGATCCACCCCTTCAAAAAATAGTGAAACATCAAAAAGTTGGTCAAATATCTTTGTGTTTTAGTTTGAAACAAAAAACGGATATTTCGAGTCTCATTTTTTTCAGTTTCAAAAAGTAAGAAGGACTAAAAAAGTTTTGCGCAGAACCAAAAATTGTTTGAATAGAAGTTATGAAATCACTAAACTCACAATTAAAAACAGAAACTACAGTACCCTTACTAATACCAAGTTCGAAGAAAATCTCAATTCTAAACCTATATAATTTAAATAAATTATAGATTCGAATTTTGCTCTTATTTTTTCACAAATTCAAATAATAGCTAACCTTAAACAGAAAAAAATTCCAAGAAAAAAAAACAACAAATTGCTTCTTCCCTTCTACTAACAAAAAAGATATAATAAAATGTTGGAACAAGAAGAAACGGGTATCAAAAAAACATAATTTGACAAGAGTATGTCAAAACGGTTGTCATATCAGACAGAAACATAAGATGAAATGATGTGAGTCGGCAAAAAATATGAAAGGAGAAAAAACTCAAGAAAAAGTTGAAGACAAAGTCACTCAGGTCGATTCTATTATATTTGTTCAATAAACCATATTCGGATTTTTATTATGATTTCTTTTTATTCTCTTATTTTATGTAGTTTGAGAAGCAATAAATTATCGACTCAAAATTATGTTGTAAAATAAATGACAAAACTTTTGAGTTGAGCTCTAGTTTCACAAGGGGCTTTTCGATAAGCCTTCCTCTTTTTGGACAACTTATTATTTTTATTTTCAAGACTGGGGTGACTTTTATCGGATTAGAAAGACAAATGTGAGGAATTGGCGGGATGTACGTTTAGATAATTGGTATGCAAAATAATGTGTGATTTTATTCAGATGTACATCCAACTTATTGTTTTTGGTTGTTTTGCGATTTTTAGTTATTTCCGGATTGAAGAAATGTGTGTTATTGGGTTGAGAAAGTTCAAATAAGAATTGGGAAAAAATATATATGCATAGATGTTGAAAACAAGATTTTTTGAAAACGTTGAAGATATGTATCAAGTTTTTCAAAACCCTCTATCAACTTATTATCCATAACTAATAGTAAATCATAGAACGCCCAGGACTGATATCGAAAACAAATGGGTATGAAATATAAAATGAAAATGACATTCGATCAGACACAAATCCCCGATAAATACAAAAAATAACTACAAAATTAACATATTTTTTTCAAATATCTCACGGAAAAATACTTTTTTATATATCCACATTTCAAAAAAGTGCATTTCAAGAATACAGAAAACCTAACATTTCTACTTCATTAATGTCACTTTCTTGTCACACCGTGTTTTATAATTAAAATTTGAGGTGTCAAAAATCCCATGTCTACTACTTTATATGTGTTTTTTGTGTCGAAACAGAAATCCACGGGATTTAGAACGGATTTGTTTTTTTTTTGAGTAAATGGAAAAATCTGAAGAAAAAAATGTGGAAGAAAATGTGTCTTTGAAAGTTCGTCGCGAAGAAAAAAGTATCAAAAAGTGTGAAATGGAGGGGTTTTGAAATAATAATGCCAGGTGTGAAAACACATTTCATCAATGAAAAGAAAAAGCCAAAAAGAAAGAAAAGATTTCTTATTTTTTACGAAAAAAATTTGCGTAAACTCAAAGAAGCGAAAGGGCAAAAATGAGATAAATGCATATTTTTCTGAAAATAAATCGTTTTTGGTCGGCGAAATTTTTTCAGTACTATTACGTGAAGGGTTAGACTTTTCTTTTAACAAGGGAAATTTATTATAATTCAGAAAAAGAGCATGTTTTTCTTTATTGTGCTTTTTTGAAGACGTTATTGAAATTTGATATTTTATTGTTTATTCAATTCTGATTTCACTATGGCGGTGACCTTTGAAAAATAATAAAAAATCGTAACATTTCAAGGAAAGTCGGGAAATGTTAGTATATCAAAACTTGGGATTATCACTTTCGATAATGATTGTGAATAGTGTTTATTGAATACTCTATTAAGATTGAAACAACATAAATCTCTCAGATTCCTTAAATCACAACTTCAAGTCAGAACCTTAAAAAATCTTTGGTCTATGCGAACAAATTCACAATGTGAAACGAAAAAAAAAGACAAAAGACAAAACGAAACAAAATTATGGAATTTCGAATTTACTCAAAACCAGCAGCTCTATGCTCACAACAACAAAAATATACATTTGTTCCCGAAAGCAGTTTAGTTGTGCTCATAACGAGCTGGTGTCCTTCTTCCTTCCTAACCCAAAAAATAAAAGAAGAAGAAGAAGAATACGAGCCACACCAAAAAAAAAAAGAAAACTTTTTTGAATGGAAGGAAGGGCCACCCTAAACTCATAAGGAATTCTAAAAGTATCTAGCGAATTTAATGACTTCTTACATGACCTCCTACCCTTTCCTTTTTTCATTATTATATTATTATGCTTATTCTTATTTTTGGGTGAACAAATGAGTGAAAGAGCGAGAACAGAATATATTGAGGGCAAGTTTTGTTGAAATAACAACCACACAAAAATAAGACGTTTTGTCACTCTAGAAAAGTTTGGATGTTCATTCATTTCTGATGGATAAAAATAGGAGAAAGGAGAAAAAAGAATACACATTGAATATATATGGGATATTTCAACAATTTTAAGAATTCTATCTATCGTGTTCTTCGTTTTCCCTTTTTCGCAATATTTTTTATTTTTTCAATCGGGAATGGTTGCAGCGTGTGAAACGTTGTGCATATGCGAAAAAAAGAATACATAAATTAGTAAGAAAACTCAAGAAAGCTGTTTTGACCTAAACGGTACGTATCATTAAACTTCCCAGAACTTTATGTAAGAATCTGAAACCTAATCTACGCGACAAAAAATTAGAAAAATGATTAGAAAAAAATTAGAAAAATGAGATGAACAAATACAACATGCATTATGAGTAGAAGGGAACGTTATGTTAGATTAGAGATGCAGGGTAGATGAGAGAGCATGGAAAGTGAAGAGAGAATAAGTTATTTGAAAAATATGTGGAAAATGTTAATCCAAAATCAAGCACTGTTTTTTTTCTAATAGAAAAATGCAATTTTGAGGAGACGCAGACAGTCGCTGGTCTCGACACGCTGTGTGTCTGCCATACACTATTTCTCTCCCTTTTTCGGCGAGAGATTTGTCTGCACACGTTAAAGTCTGCGTCTCCCTCGAATTGCAAAAAAAAAATACAGTGCAAGGGAATTTTTTGATTGGGTCAAAAATGTTTTTTAATACATATTATTTATTATTTTTGATAGTTTCATAAATTTTTATTTTTGGGAAGTATTTGACAGTTATTTCATTTTTTTTAATTCTTAAATTTGTAAAAATGTTTGAAAAAACAAGGATGCGAAGAAGAAACGGAAATATTTATTGAGACGGAAGTCGATTCGGAAATTCAAATTATCAGTCATGTTTTGAATAAATATTTTTGTGTGATAATATTTGAATTTTCCTAGATTTTCCTATATTTTGAAAAAAAACGGGACAGTTTGTTTTCAAGTGCGGAAAAAACACTTTATCAACAGTTACTAGGGTAATCTAGGGATTATTTGCTGGTGGGTGGAAAAAATGAGTTATTAGAGTTCCTAAAAGTGCAAAATATTTTCAGATTCTGGAAAAAAACAACTAAATTATGAAATAAAATTTAGAAAACTAGTTGTTGAAATTGTTTATATGTAGCTGAACTTCCAGGTTAGCAAAATATTAATGAAGCTGGATGGTAATTGAACAAAGTTTTTTTGGTGTTCTGAATGAGACATTAAACTGAACAATTTTATGTTGGAAATTTCAGAAATTTCAAATGGTTTTGAAATAAATATAAATTTTTCCCTGAAATTTCGAGATTCCTATTCTTCAAATGTAGTGAAGCTTAGAAAATGGTGAACGAACAATGTAGATCAAAACACAAAAGGTATAAAGTTCAAAAAACAGAATGTGAGGAACTAAAATTTGGTGGAAATTAAATTATTTGGTCAAATCTCACTATTTTTCAGAAAATACGAGAATATTTTTACTTCAGTAAAAAAATGGTTTTTATTATGTTCAATAAACCTATATAGTAAAACTTGATGAAAATAAAATAATTAAGCTTTTTGATATTCTAAATGTAAAAATGATTATAGGTTTGATGAATATTCGAAGGTGAGAAAATGAAAGGATTAAAAAGGGGAAAACAGAATAATTAAATAGGTGGTGCATAGATTTTTCTAGGTAGTGCAAAATTCAAAAAGCTCAAATAAAAGACCACAAAAACATTATTATTTTTTTTTTCAAAACATGCCTTTCTCTATTGCAAGCCGCAAAATTGCTTGTAAATTCGAAGACAATTTTGCTCACTTTTATTTACCTTTACTAAAAAAAACTGAATGCTCACTTTTTTCTCTTTTGCTTATTATTATTAGGAGTAGTAATAAAATTCGTGTTTTTTCTTTTGAATTTTGTCTTGTTGTGAAACCAAAAATGAATAAACAACAATATATTTTTGTTCTGCTTTTTTTTCAGTCAAGATGACTTTTGAAATAGATACCTGAAGATAGAAAATCCAGAAAAAACGCAAGAGAAGGAAAATGGGTTTGAAAAAAGGAAAAAGCAGAACCAGAACAAATTTCATTAAAACCTATTTTTTGAAACAAAGACGAAAAAAAGAAAAGTAAGAATGTGTTTTTGTGCCCGGAAATACATATTTGCAAAACCAAACATCTTATGAACACCACCGGAAAAAAGAATGAAGAAATCATAAAATTTATGTTTGAGCATCGTAAAATATGTATTTTCATTTCAGAGCAATATAATTTCAAGATGATAACAATGAAAATAAACCTGAAAAATGTCAGCTGCAAAAAATGTGTGAAAATTTTTAGATGCTCATGAATTTTCGAATCGTGAAAAATCAAGAGAAAAATCTAAAAACGTATATGAACCACCTAAACGATTTTCTTTTCAAGAAAAATTGGGAATAAAAATAAAAGAACTCCTCTGGTGTATGTGTGTGTTTTTGCTGCGTTTCTCTATAATTCTGCCCCCAATATTTTTATACCTATATATTATATTTTTGCTGCGAGCAACTACATGCTCCAACGAGTTTTCATCTTCGTTTTGAATCGTTCGGTTTTGATGAGAAAAAGTGTGAGTCAAGGTGTCTTTTCATTTCTTATCACGCAAGCCGTATTTTGAATAAAAAAAAAAGAGAAATTCGAATATTTTGATTTTTTTTCTTTAAAATTTTTTAGAGTTTAGTTGTGGGAATGGTCGAAGTGCAACGATGCAAAAAATACCGGTGTTCATTCAAAATTTCACAACTTCCGGAGAGACAAAGATTGAAGTTCAAAAAAAAAAAAAAAAGGCAGTTTGAATTGGTCTGGATTTACATGAAAGAATAAAAACTAAGGTTTACAGAGATTTCAGAAAATCGGAACTTTTATTGGTTTCGAAATTTTTGAATAGTAAGTTTGTGAAAATGAAATGTTTTTTTTGAAACTTCATTGATCGGAAATTAAGCAATCGTTCATAAATTTTAAAAAATAATGTTACATTCCAGGAATACTTAAATCTAGTGTTCGAATCATTGAATCTTCTAAATTTTGCAATTTTTTTGGCTTATGACAGAATTTTGTTTTCTTTTTCAATTACATAAAAACTATTTGGAAAGGTTTATTTTCTTTATCTTCTGGTATTGAGCTTTTTTCTCATATGATGGTATTTCCGAGTTCATGTCGATGTTCAGAAATGTGGATGTGAAATATTTTTTGAGAGTGAAATATTTTTTGAAATTTAGAATACATTTGATTTTAAAATCTTAAAAAAGATCCTCGCATAACAAATTTTTCAAATATTGTATAAAATTAATCTACAAAGTTCAATGAATTTCCCAACATAATCTAACGGAAAAGTACACATGCACTAATTTTCTACGAGTTCCCATAAAATTCCAAGATAAACTTACAGCGACTTGTACAAGAGACGCGATAACAACCAGGAAGCCAGCTTGAAAGTGGAAGCTGAAAAAACGGTATTTTTTTGACATTGACGGAAAAAAAGACCTCTTCTGATGAAGTATTAGTTGAAATAAGTCATTCAAAATTTGGAAGAAACATCAGAAAAAAAAACAAATAAAAAGTGAGTGTCTCAAATATTTTCAACAACACATCTCGTCAAACTCATCTGTCAAAACGGAAAAGCTTGGAAATGTATTTATTCCGCTAAGCTAGACAAGAACGCATCAAAATAAATTATACTGTTTCAAAACAAATATTTTCAAATTTTCAACTATTTTCAGCCAAAAAATCAGAACTCGAAAAAGTTCTATTGTTAGTATGTCTGTGTGTTTATTATTGTTTTTGGTTTTTTCTTTTTTTTTTGAAGACAACACAGGTTTGTCTTTTTGGAGCAGAGGATAACAAAGTTAAAAATTCATCCCACCAAAAAAAGAAACCGAAAAATAAAAAAAAACACATCACTTTTTGTTTTTGTTGAAACAGAAATTTGATAACAAGTTTTATTGTAACAGTATAATTTATTGGTTCATTTATTTTTTATTTGAAAAAATTTCAAACCAAAACAATAAAAACAAAACGAATTCTAATATATATTCAAAATAGGCTGTCAACAATTATCTTCAAAAATTATCCAAACAAATTTTTTTGTTCCGGAACAAGAGAACGATTTTTCTCTTCACAGAAAATAAAATATTGAAAAAATACCTGGATACCAAAAATTGATCAGAGTAAGAAACACTGAATATAAAAATATAAATAATTATATTTTTAGTCTAGAATAAAAAAGTTGCGACGCATCTATGCAAATATTTTTCATATACTACTCATTTTTTCGATACACATACATTTATATTTTACATACATGATATCTGAATTAAGTATTCATCATTCTCTCTTTTCTTTTCTTTTTTATTAGATAATTCAACATTTGTTTTGAGCGGCGGGGCAAATAGCGGCACAGAAAAAAAAACGACGGAAAAAATGGATCTACTATATATTTTTCGCACCAAAACCAAACATTTCATTACATAACATTATCTGGATCGCTGATGCGGAATCTTCAAGTTCCAATTCTTCTTTTATTGAAAGAGAGACACTTGGTTTTGTTTTTATGTACTTTGATGAAATAGGGAAATTGACAGAAAATGAAAAGAGAATGAATGAACTTTCATGAAATCAGCAAAACAAATAATTTTGAACTCATAAACATTTCCAAATTATTTAGAGAAGAAAAAAAATGAAAACTAGACAGCTTTGAACTACTGAAAAACAAACAACTTTTTCAGGTGTCGTCGATCGAAAAATAATCAGAAATTACGTGATTGACCAAAATAGAAAAAAAATTAATTTTTAGATTGAGCTAACTTTTATGAGGAATTTTCATCTCACTAGATTTATCGTAAATAAAAAAATTTTTCAGGAACTCTCTAATTAGATACTTACAGTAATCTTGAATTTTCTCGAATTTTTTTTTGACATTTTTAAGCAATCTTAATTGAACTTATCCTTTTATCAGAACTTATCAGCATAGATATTTTTTTGACAAGCTCACATTGAGAGTATTCAAGATCTCAGACTCTGGAGTCTCAAAAACATTCATAGTTCTGATTGTTGTTTTGAATTATTGTCTGAACATTTTCAAACAATTGAAAATCATTGGATTTCCCTAACATCAAAAATATCGTTAACAAAATGATTTTTGGTTTTTTCGAGAAAAAGTAACTTTCGAGAAAAACACCAGAAAAACGAAATCAAAAAAATCAAACTTCGAAAATCTTGAATCCACGAAATGGAAAATAGTTCAATTCAAGTTAAAAACAAAATTTGAGAATTTCTCCAGCTGAAATTTGTTTTGATAAACAATTTTCGCGGGTTTTTAGGGAAAAAGTTTCCAGAAAACAATAAATTGAAATCATGAACAACAACGTATTTTCCCAGACGATGAAAATGAAAGAAATCAAACATTTTTTCTCGTTGCAAAAAAAAATCAGAAATTACAAAACAATTCTCTTGTTGCTCTCTATTTTCAATATCTACGAACAAATCTTCAGTTCAAAAAATTATAAGGTGAAAGTCACTGACAAGCACTTCTAGCAGAACAGCATAGCAGAAAAATACGGGATTCAATTAATTTTTTATTTTATCTCATTTTTTGTATTCATTTTACTCTTCTAAAAAAACTAGAAAAAAAGAAGGAAAATATGGGCAAAAGTGAAGAAAGCGTTCATTTATCCTAGTTTCATACGAAAAAAAGACGTGTGGAATTGAACAAAGAAACACACAAAAAACTAAATTAATAGTATCTACTGAATAAATCTTTGCCGATTTTTTTGTGTATTAGCCAATTTGAAACATGGCCTTTTCGCACTTTAGCTCATTCAATGATAAATGAGAAACTATGGTGGGAGATTCGGAGGGTCAAAAAGCAATGATTTTTTTTCTCGAAAAAATTTCACTTAAGCCTCTCTCTATACGAAAATTTTTTTGATGAGTTAAGAACAAAACTTTTTAAAAAACCCAACCCACAAAAAATATACACAGGGATCAACTATAAGCCTTCTTCTTCTCCCATTTTTACTTTGGTTCAAAAAATAGCTAGAAAAAGCCACGTCACGCAATATGAAGTGTTTTGAGAAATTTTTGTTTTCTGTGACCTTTTTTCTGCAAGCAGAAAAAAAAACAACAAAAAAATAAAAACCAAAAATAATATTACAATCGAAAGAGGGTCCACCAAAAATAAGGAAATGAGTTTTTCTCATTGGAGGAAACGGTGATATGAAAATATATATAGTAAGTCGAAAAACTTTTTATATGAAAATTGTGTTTTGTACTAGTTTTGAACAAAAAAATTTTCTATTTTTGCAGCAAAAAAATTAAAATGCATCTAGATCGCTTCAAACACCAACAACAAAAGGTGGAATTCTCAAAAAAAGGCAACAAAAACTGGAGTGCATAAAAAACGAGTCTCGTCATTAAAAACAATAGAAAAAGCATCATTTCGGAAATGTGAAACTAAAAAATCTGGAATAAATGATCATTTCAAAGAAAATGAGGGAAGATTCCTTCCAAAAAACGATCATTTGTCATTTTTAAGCTACCTTAACCCAAAATGTCATTTTTAGCTTTTTCTGGTTTGACTATAGTTTTGTTTTCAACCTTTTTTTTTTGGGTATGAGTACAAAAAGCGAAATGATGGATCGATTTTGAATTTACAGACAAAATATGAGAAAGTGTATAGTTGGAAAAGTTCACACAGAATTTGAATGTAAATTGTGAGAGGATAAAGGATACAATTGTACTCCTTATGATGTTTGGAATTGCTGAAGAAAAAAACATTTTTTTGGTATTATTTTTTGAACAAATTTGTATTATCAATATATATATTTAACATTGGTGAACCATGGAAAATATATATTTTTTAACACAAAAAATCAATTTGTTTAGTTTTTGTCAAGCTTAACCTGTGAGATAATACTTTTGGAACAACTTACAATTAGAAATGGATGAAAAGGGTTCGCGCTTTCCTTTTTGCAACTGCTTTTTTTTATTTTTCAACTATTTTTTCATGGTAAAAATTTAGATTTTTTGTGTTTTTTCATTGCAAAAAGTTTTTTTTGACAATTACACCCACTTTCAGAGTTCAGGAGTGATCAACTTCATAAAACCAAATGATATCTAGAAAATTTGCAACGGTTTTTGATTCGGCAGCGAAAATCACAAAGCATTTAATTTTGAAAACGTTTTCCCCGTTGTTATTATCAAATCATTTTTTAGTCCATAAATATTTCATTTCTGCAACCAATATCCAATTCATTTGTTTCACTTTTTTGCCTCATTCTTGATAATCACAATGCAAAAGACGAAAAACAGAAGAAAATTTTTCAACACAGCTGTTTTCAGTTTTTTGCTGTATATACATTTCTATCTATCCAGCTATCTATCTGTTTCGATGGCAAGCAGATAATTTGCGTGGGTGCCAAAAAGCATTTGTTATTGGGAAAGAAGAGGAGAAACGAAAAAACGCGATCAGTCGGATAACAATATGCCATCTGAAGTGGCGGTTCGAGCTAGACATCCGGTTCTTTTGCCGCGAGCAAGATCTTTGGAACGTGGGGCTCCAGTTGGAACATTGAGCAGGTTAGTTAAGAGATTTATTTATTTTTTTTTGTAGACGAGGAGAGTAACAAAATTGATAAGAAAAGTGTTCCGAAAAATGTAAAAAATTTTATGGAAAACGGAATAGAATTGTGAAACTGATTAAGAATCAACTGACTTTTAAACATGATTTCATTGTGTGTAGTTTCATAGTGATTCATAAATATTTTATGAATTTTCAATTCTTGTTATTGAGCCATGAAAATTCGTTGGATATTATTGAAATTTACATGATAAATTTGAAAAAAAGTATCATAAAATATATTTTCGTGATTTCTGACAAGAACTTTGTGATTTTCTGTGAGATTGATATTTTTTCTAACATAGGTCTAAACTGAAAAAATTATGTAAAGCTGATGGTTATCACAAGCAAAATATGTATTTGTCAGTTTCAGAATGAAAAGCATTCTACACTAACAACTATCAAATTTTTGTTTCCAGAGTAACATCAGTTCCAAACTTGTCCACAATTCGAGTTGGATCAAGCTACAGTCCATCAGCGCCTCTTCACAAATATAGAAGAGATGTCGATTCGGTAAGACACGTTTTTTGTTCATTTCCACCTTTCGTTCTTATTTTCAAAAAGTGTAATCTCATAAAAACAACAACAAAAAAAACTAAAAAAAAAAGAGTGAGAGATATATGAGAAATGATCGACGAACACATGAATGTTTATAGCTTGATGATTGGGCAATCGATCGATACACTTATCACGCACCATTTTATTGGCAAACTTATCGATATGCAGCAAGACGTCAAGCCTACGTCGATCCAATTCCACAAACATTGGGACACGAATACTCAACATTTTGGTCTAAATATAAATGGTACACTGATTGGTTGAACCCAACTTATTGGAGACGTTATAGAGATGCTAATTATGACAGACCATTATGGAATAATTGGAGACCATGGCAATATGACTCGTTAGTTTTGTTTGAAACTTTTAATTATTTTTTTCGAAAAAAATCACAAAAAAAATTTTTTCAGGCGCAACGCTAAACGAGCCATTGATTTGTATAGAAACGGAGTGATTGATTTCAAAACATTAGATTCAAAATGGATCACACCTTCTGCATTGGAAAGACGTGGAAGAGATTGGTCAGATGTTTATCTTCCAGCTGCTCGTTATGGAGCTCATCGCTATTTCTACTCTTTCAGTTAAACAAATATATTGTCATTTTTTATTTTTCGAAAAAAAAACCCGCTCGAAAGAACCCTTCTCTTAATGTTCATGTTTTAAATATCCTTTTGTATGTGTATTTTAGTGAAGTAACTTGCGAACTTTATCATTGACACCTTCCACAACAATATCATTTGTTTCGGTCTGTAAAGAATGAATTTTGAACAAAATGATGATAATTGTTAAGCTGTTTCAAAGTTCATAGATAAATGAACCCAACAAAAACACATACCAATTCTTCAATTCGATCAAGTTTTGGTTCCTGAATTTTGAGTTGAACATGCATATCAACAGCAAGATGTTTTATTGATTCAAGTCCTTGATCGAGTTGCATCATGTTTCTCTCAATTTCCTCTTCAATTGTATCATTAGTTAACCTGAAAAAAATCAACATCTGGTTTTTTATATGTTGAATGATCGTTCTATGATACAAACAACTCGGAAAAATTATAATCCCTGGAAATATGCTTTGATAAAGAGACGATAATAAAACACAAAAAAAACATATTTGACATTTTGATCGGAGAAAGTTCATTTGAAAAATGAAATTTTTCTTAAAAAATCGCTTCTGCATCCCTATTTTCTCAATCTATAGAAACTTCCCGATACGATTCCGATCTCACCAACCTTTTCATGAATTCTCCATTTGCTGAAGATTCTCTTCGTTTATTTGAACTTCGAAAAGTTACGACCGCCTCTTTTTCTCCAGATGAATTTGACATTGAATTGGCCATATGTCTGAAAAATATTTTATAATTCGAAGATTTTAGAGGAAAACTCACTCCAATACTTCTTCTTTAATCTGATCTCGCTCTCTTTTTTTACGGAGACATTTGATTGGAGCGCTGGAAATATAATGTGGTAAAGATTATCACAAAAAAAACTCGGGAAAATAAACCAACCATAATAATTTGAAAAAACTGCAACCGCAGTAATGTTCCATGTCATTCACATTATCCGAAACAACATTAAGATCTTTGTTGACTGTTGTTAGATGTTCTTCAATTTTGTCAAGTTGTTCTGAAAACATTTGCTGAAAATATATTCTTTTTCAAAACAAAAAATATAGTTACCGTCTTGGTCTTCAAGCGCTGCCAATGTTCGGAATCCTTCATTGTTCATTTGATCCAAGTCTTGAAGCATGTGGCGAGTACTTTCCAGACTCTGAAAATCTTCATTTTTTCAATTCTAAAAAACGAAACAAACCTGCATATTCAACTTGGCAATTTCTGAGTCAAAATCGATAAGTTTTAACTTTATGCGTCTGTTGATTGTTTCCTCACTTGGAAAAACAATGGGCTCTGGGATCCTTCAAAAATCTTTATTTGATTTTTATTGAAAAATGAAAGACTTACTCATCAAACGTTTTTCTGACCATTGCAAACAATACGAGCAAAATATGAAATGAAGAATTAAAATAAAAATTATAAAAGAGTTGTTATCAGCTTATCACACGTGAAAAATATTGGAATTCCTCAACATTCATCGAGAGGCGTAGAGAGGCAAAAGAAAATATTATCAAATTCCTGGAAACAATGTGAGTAGATGTTTCAATGAAGATTTTTTATAGGTTTGCGAGTTCCGGGTATATGTTCTTCAATCCAATTTTGAACCAAGTTTTATGGGGTAAATGTGTGGGACTGAACATAGATCACAAATTTTATGTAAACATTGTTGTTAAAATGAGGTTATCAGTTTGTTGTTACTTTTAGGGCACAAACACCGCGGTTCAAACATTGTGGTTCCTTTTTTGAATACATATTGGAAAAACTGAACCTACCTTCAAAAATGTTTAGCAGGGTAACCTTTTTCATTGAAAAATAAAATTTCTAAGTTCGAAATATGAATTGGCATGAAATTTAGTATTATTGTTTATATGCAGAAAAACGTGAAACACTAAACACGTGAAACACTGTATACGGAATAGTATTTTGATTAGTGACACAGAAGATCGAATCGATTTTGAGCAGCACGAACATCAGAAAAAGTGACATAAGATGAATTACCAGCGAATTTGGGGAAAGAGTATATACATATTTTTTTTTTCAGAAGTCAATCAATAATTTTTTACCCTATTCATTTTTCCATAAATTGAAATATACAGTTTTTGTGTTTTTTTTTCAAAGAATCAAACAGCTGTGCAAATATTTAGTTCTCAAATTGAAACAGTTTTAAAAATCATTTGCACAAAATCATATTTGTTCAAATGACTGCAAAACGATTGGATTTACAAGGAATACGTGGATTGGCTATTTTGGCAGTTCTTGGATTCCACTTTTTCCCAAAAGTTTTGCCAAATGGATATTTGGGAGTTGATCAGTGAGTTTCTTTTTCAAAATATTTCTCAATTTTTCTCAATTTTCAGATTTTTTGTACTCTCTGGTTTTCTCATGTGTATGCTACTGAACAAAAGTGAGTCAGATGAAAATTCAAAATATTCGATTATTTGGAATTTTTATATTCGGAGATTTCGTAGAATATTACCGTTATATTATTTGGTTATATTACTGTCACTGATTTTTCTTTTCAAATGTTTTCCGGATACTGCAATCGAAACTAATGAGATATCAGCTGAAAAGGCTTTGTTTTTCATTTCAAATCGGTTGAAAACTGATTCAGAGAACTATTTCGAAATGGTTAGTTTGTTGAAAACTTAATGAGATAAAAATAATTCTTATGTTTTCAGCTATCAATAGGCACAGATATTTTCACACACACTTGGTCACTTTCTGTTGAAATCCAGTTTTATATTCTTGCACCTTTTATTTTTTTGCTTCCATTCCGATTAACAACATTTATAGTTTTGTCAATTGTTAGTTTTTTATACTTCCACTTTCTCCCGATGGATTTCGCATTTCTCAATGTTTTTGCAAGAATCTGGCAATTTTTATGCGGTTAGCTTTATTATTGACAATTTGCTCATTCTAATTTGTTTTTATAGGTATGCTTGCTTTTTTGATATCGGATAGAAGAAAATCATCATACAGCTTATTGATAACACAAATCAACGATGAAAATGCAGAAGACGAAGAAGATGAATTCAAAGAGAATTATGAAAGCTCGTTGCAGGCTAAATTGCTCACTTTAATTGTTACTCTACTTATTTTGAACCCATCAAAAATCTCGCTTATTGTTTTGAGACCGATTGTTACATTCATAACTGGAACTATTCTTGTTATTTCAACAGGAGAGGATACATTTTTATCGAACAAGTTTTTGACATATTTTGGAGATATATCATATTGTCTATATTTAATTCACTGGCCAATTTATTCATTTTGGAAATTGACCCATGAAGAGAATTCGGATTATCTATTCATTTATTTGTTTAGCTCAATTATTATTTCTATTTTAATTTATAATATTTTTGAGAAATGGTATATTAAGTCTTCAAATACCGTAATTATTATATTAGTTACATTATTATTATGTTTCAATATATCAATTTTGAAAAGACATTCATTTCAACAACAAGTAACAATGGATAATGTGACTAAATATATGACGATTGATGATGCAAAACGATTGAATTATGAATGGACTATTCATGATAATCAGAATTTGATTCAAGATACTTGTGAATATGAATCGACAAAACCATTAGGATGGTGTAGCGAGAAAATTAAAAAACTAAATGAGAAAAATTTTAAAATTATGATAATTGGAAATAGTTGGGCAGCAAATCATGGCAAACTTATTTTTCAAGAATGTGGATCAAAAGCAAATTCTATGTTAGTTGGATCAACTTATGGTAAATATAGCTCTGTTCTAGTTGTGTTTCTTATTGAATTGTGTTCATTTTTAGGATGTGAGCCCTTATATCCATCAAAAAACTTGAAAAGATGTTATCAAAATATCACCGAATTCGTAAAACTTGCCAGTGAATTCAAACCGGATTATGTGTTTCATATAACTAGGTGAGAGCTTCATAACTTTATCAAAACAATTTGTTTATTTTCAGACATGTTTCAATTGGAGATCCCTCAAATGAAACAATCGAGAATGATCCAATCTATCAATTCATGCTGAATCAAACAAAAATTTTGACAAAACATATTTCAAAGAAGTTGTTCATTTTAGATGCAATTCCAAGAGTAAATGGAAATGAAGTTTCAAAAATTGTGGATCACATAAAAAATAACGAAACTTTTGCTGATATTGATGTGAGTTGTATTTTAATACCATTTCCAATTAATACAAGCATTTTTCAGAAACAATTAACTGACGAAACAGATTATCTTATGGCAAGAAAGCGGAATGCTCAATTAATGAAAGATTGTGGTCCGAAATGTCAACTTTTTGATTATTTCAGTCTATTTTACAAAAATGATACGAAAACATTCCGATTTTATGATGATCGAGGATTCTCCTATCTTACAGCTGTCAATCATTTATCACCACATGGCTTGGAATATGTTCGGAGTGTTTATAGAAACATATGTAAAACATTTTAATTGTCCTAAATGTAGATTTTTTTTTCACAACTCATAAAAATCCAATGTTTAACAACAGTTTTCATTATCTTGCAAAAACAGAGAACAAAAACAAAACATTGGCATCGAAATTAGATACGGAAAACATCTCGTCAGGAGATTCATTCTCTATCGCGATGCTCCCAAAGATTCCAGGGGAAAATTGATCCTGTTACTGGCATTAACTGTAAAAAGGAATTTTTGAGATTTCCGAATTTTCAGTTATCGAACATATATTTTTTCATTCAAAATGCAATTATTTTCGAATTATTTCATAAAAATACTCACATAATGTCGTCCTCCTACAAATCCGAAATGGTTGCCTTCATCTTCCGATTGTTCAGAATTTTGAACATTAACTAGATTTCTATTAATGATTGGTTGAGCCGGTCTGCGCTCTTCGTGCATGTTTTCATCAACCGATTTCTCGTCGTCAGACATCTGTAATAATAGGGAATAAGTTTTTCTTATTGTTTTAAAGGGTTGGTGTTCTTCTAGTGAAAAAATCGCCTGCAAAAAGGCGTCACGGTGTTGTGTTCAAAGGCTGAACTGATACTAGATTTTTTTGAAACTGGTACCTTCCAGGAGCACCTTTTTCCTATCTAAACCAAGCAATATTCCTTGGCGGAGCACCAACCCTTTAATCTTTAGAACAATGTTGGACTCAAAAGTAAAAAAAAAAGAAATCAAAGTGAAACAAAATAATGGAAAGATCTTCTTTCTTCTTATTTTTGCGGAAAAACCCATATGGCTCCGAAAAAGCAGCGGTGAGATGATATTTTATGGTGTTGTCAAATTTTATGAAACAAAAAAGAGCCATAAATTACTTGATGCGCCAAACGGCAAAACATTGTCACCGCAAAATAATTAATGAGTTTTCACAGTAATTAATTTTCTTTGGATTCTCAACCTGAAGACAGTACAAATAGATACGTAAGTAGACAATTATAATAGCTGATGCTATTTTTGAAAATTTATGACCTCAAAGTGATCAATGACACATCCTTTTAAAATGTAAATATTATAGATTTGATGTTTTGCTCTTTGTTAGTGCAAGTACAATTGATTCACTTTGAATACAACTTATTGACTACTGTGCCAATTAACACGAAATATGAAAAAGGTATTAAAAATCATCTGGGTTAGTCAGATCTTTGAAAGTTATGAGTCAAACACATCATTTTCTCCGTCGATACTTTGCAAAACTAGTGTGATCAATGTTCTAGTCATTCAAAAATTTCGCTCGAAAATCTCATAGATTATCTCGTGGTTGATAACATATTGTTTATCAAACAAAAACTCAAATCATTCATTGATCCGAAAAAGAAAAAAACGAAATAAGTGGTAAGTTCAGGCAAATTTGAGAGGAGAGATCTAGCAAAAAGGGAACTTGTTTTTTTTAATTTTCATCATTTTGTGATGTTGTTTATCGACGTCCGAGACCAACGAAAAAGTTGCTAGCGTCAACTTTGTATCCAGAGGTCTGAAAAAAATGTTTGACTGATTGCTAAAAAGAAGAAAATACGTACACTTCTCTTTCCAAAGCTCATTCGGAAACTATTTGGGTCCAAGTTCATTTTTCGTTTTCCGAATGACATTCTGAACGCATTCGAATCCATCCGCTTTTCTTCGTTCTCGAAGAGTTCCTGAAATAAAAAAAAGTTTTTGAAAGAATCAAAACAAAGTCAAAATTACATTACTACTATCGCTATTTTCATTGTTGCTACTACGTTTTCCGAATGACATCCTGAATGCATTTGTATCCATTCTTTTTTGTTTTTCAACTTCTTCCTGGTCTTGGAACATTTCGTTTGAAATTGATCTTTTGCCAAATGACATACGGAACGCGTTTGGATCAATGCGAGTTGTATCAAGGATCTGGAAAAATATGATATTTGGTCAGAAATTAATTTTGACAATTTAATGATAAACTCACATTCCGCTTTCCAAATGACATTCTGTATGCGTTAGCATCCATACAGTACCCAGCTCCGATGAACATCAAAATAATTAATGAATTCATCTGAAATATTTTAATTGATAAAAAAGTTACAAATTAGAGACAAATGATAAATGTTATGAAAAATAAGTATTGGGCGGAGCTTCATGACAAATTTTGCAAGAATCAAAAACATTTTCGTAAATTCTAGCCAGAAAATATCAGAGAATGAAAAGTTGTATGTCTTTGAAAAACAAAATGAGACAGATATTTGTTGAATTTCAATAGATGGCAAAATTTTGTTCTTTTGCGACAACAATCGAGATTATTCCAAAATTTTTCTTCCGCGATAGAATTTCTAATTTGTTTTCTTGGTGCGCAACACCAAAAATTTCGACATTAAAGCACGAGCATCGAGAAACTAAAGGTCAACAATTTCACACGACATTTTATAGTTTCGTGGAAAAATTTGAACTCAAAAGAAACAGACGTTTTTTTTTCGATTTAGGTTAGATTAATTTATTTTCTGGCGCGAAGCATGCAACATCATGGTTTCATTTTTACATTTTTGCTCTTTTCAACAGCCAAAAAAATGTCTCATATTTCGGTTGCGGAAGAAGGCCAACAAAAAATGGCGAAAAAATAATAAGTGAGTTGGGGCGAGTTCAAAAAGACACGAAAAAACACATTTTTCGAATGATTAGTAAGTTTAATGGGTTTGTGTTGTTATTTTTAGTTCGAGAAAAAATTTGGAAGAAAATTAGAAAAAAATGGGCGTTCTGAAACTATATCATATTAGGATCAGATGATGTTTAACCAGATTAATAAAAAGTTGCACTTATTTGCATATCATCATAAAATGATGTGATATGATTAATTGTTCTATTCATCTTGATCCAAACAATTGAAACCACCAAGACAGAAAAATATATTCAAGAATAAAAAGAGAAACGCCAACAAATTTCTTTTCAGCACATCATTCATTCTAAAGTGATTGAAGAGTTGTTGTTTTTTCGACCGACTTTGCCACATATTTTGTCACTTTTTTATTATAAGATATATTTTTATATAAGATAGACTAACTCAATTAAAATCCGGAAATCAAAAAAATATATTTTTATGAATCACTTTTTTTAAAGTTTGTCACAATTAGTATGTATTCACTTGATCCAAGAAATCTTTTTTCGAGAAGGAGGCGGGGAAAAATGGGAAAATTGTAGGTTTGTTGGGAAAACATAAACGCTTATGGGAAAATTTAGGGTTTGCTAGATTTTCTATTCCTAGAGTTTACTTCATCAAAAAAAAACTAAAGATCTGAAACAAAAAAAATGTGTTAGAAGAAGACGTGAAGAACTGATATTTTTTTAGAAAAAAATGATTATAATCTCTGGAAATGGAGAAAAAAGGCGGAGCCAATCTAATTTTGTTTTTTTTCGAGTTCACGTTTTTTTTTTGAAAAACTTTGAAAAGGATTTGAAATAGTCTGACGCTTGCAAAAAGTAATCCTGTGTTGAAAAAAAATGTTCAATGAGTTTTGCTCGGGTTTTTAAAATTATTACTGATTTGATTTTTGTACGAATTATAGGGTTCTTTATTTTTTGAAAATCAGGATAAAAAATGAGTGGAATCTTTGAAAAAATTTAATTTTAAAAGAAATAGTTTGAAAGGTTCAAGATATTCTACTTTTGGAGAAAAAATGAATGAGACAGTGATTCTGAATGTGAATAACTTGACATTTCTCCGCAAATAAAAATGGGTTTTCAATATTTTTCATTTATAAAGGTTCTCTTCAGACCAAAAGACCAACTCACAGTGGTACGTCAAAACAATTCTTCGAAAATTTGTCATAGTTAAGGGAATATTTGTCAAGAAAATTACATGGGTTTATAAATATTTTTAGAAATTATTATTTTGTTTGGATTCATAACTGTTCTAGATCTATGATCTCAAAATGTTCCAATTGAACTCGAGAACTGAACGTGAAAAATTGAAGGATTAAATGTAGTTTGATTTTTATCATGTTTTTTTCTCTGATAAATCTGTTATTTCAGTCATCAATCTATCTCATGACTAACTATAATGATAAAAATTTTCTAAAAGTCAGATTATTCATCGGAAGAAGAAAAATCATGCTTATTCGATAAAGCGGGGAAACCAAAAACCAAAGAAAATATTTAATTTCCGGGTGAACCCGTTTTTTTGAAGTATGTATCATTTTCCGCGAATTGCTCAGAAATGAAAAACCTAAACGCGATAAATATATATTGTTCTTTTCTGCAAAACGGATATTTAATTTTTTGAAGAAAAAAAATAATAAGGAACTGACTCAGAAATGTGGAAATTTTAATGTTCTTGGAGCACGAAATGGAATAAAAACATGTCAGTTCATGGCTACAAAATGAATAATAAAACTATAAAAAACACAGGAAATGAGAATTGAATACAATACTTGGTGGGTGGTCCTTTAAAGTATAAAAAATAGCATTAATAATGTTCATTAATTATTGAAAAGTTCAGTCACAAAAAACACTGCTTTTAGCTCAAATTACAGTATTTCAATGTGAATAAATTTCATGTTGTTTCTTCGCAAAACAAGGAAAAACAAATAATCTCTGTAATCTTGGCTGAATCAATTGACACGCAATTTTTCAGAAAAAAAGAAAAAACAACAATTTTTGCAAAAAATCCAACTCGTGAATCAAAAAAGATACATATTTATGAAATTTATGAAAAAAACATGATGGCATAAATTCGTGATTTTTCGCAAAACTAGAAAATATTCATTTCATTTCCGCAGAAAAAAAAAGATTCAAATTTTAAAGAAGAAAAAAAAACAGACATGGCGAGAAATGAACAACTATCTAAAAAAAAAGAAGAAGATAAAAGAAAAAAGTGTCAGAAAAATAGACTGGAATTTTTATTCATTTTGCAATAAAAACGTAAATAACGAGTTGGATTTTCAAAGATGAAAAATGACAAGAAACGAGAGAAGAAATTGCATCAAAGTTCAAATTGGTGAAAATTGGCATAATTCAGCAGCCGTGTATTCTTCCGAATTAAAATATTCGGTTTTCAATCGACGCAAAAGTGATCCACTATCGTCATTTTCATTCTTTTTGATGTCTTTTTTGTTGCTGCTGAAAAAAATACAAGTACTTAAAGAAGATTAAGAAAAATACGGTGGGTTTGAGAAAAAAAACTGAACGAAATTCATTTACTTAATCATGCAAAATAAAAAAAGGAGTGCAAAAACACTCTTTGTGTATTCATCCCATTCATTGATGAATCTGAAATATTTAGAGAATCGTAAAAAAATAGTGCAGAAAATGAATGGAGGCTTTAGAAAATAACAATTATTAATTTATTAAATTTAGGTTAAATAACATCATTTAATATTCATATGATTTTTTTTTCATTTTTAAATGTTTTTTTTTCGTAAAAAATGAAATTTACTTGCTCTGCTCAGCTCCGCGAAATAATCTAACGTCATTAGAAAGATTTTGCAGATTGATAAAAATTATGCGTTGTTCTTGTTTTTCTATGATCAAAAATTATGAAAAAATAGAAAATACAATAAAAAAAGGTATTGAATCGCCGACTATACGAAAGTAATCTTCAGAACAATAATGATTTTTTGATTCTATAAGAATATCTAAAAGAAAACAAATAATGTCTTTCCATTAAATTAATTCTTAGAAAAATTGGGAAGATGTAGATCTTATGTTTTTTTTCATTCTGAAGCTAAAGATTATTCGGGATATAAATTACCTTGAAAAGTTGTTGATTTTTGGCAAATCATCATAACTTGTTTGATTGTTGGTCAGAATCTGTAAATATGACACATTTCCTTTCTTCTCTAATTTTTTTTTGACTAACCATTTTGTTTTGATCCGGGGACTTGTGATCTGTAATCTTGTTAATCTCGAAAGGATATTTTATATTATGCATGCCCTCGCGATTATCTAAAACCAATAGAAAATTGTTGCCAATTGTCACGATTTTGTTGCGATTTTCCAAAATACTCTGAATTACTGAATCAGGTGATGGAATTGATGGACTATTTGCTGTTCCGGGAACCGGAAATGATGAGATTGTTCTGAAAAACATATTCATATTCAAAAGCTGATAAGGAAATGATTTTTGAGAATTAGATCAAAACTATGTTGAAACAACGTTGCAATAAAGTTTGAGAACTGTCCAGTGACAAATGTTAACACTGGGAAAATTTATACATCAAGAGAGATATTTTTGGAACTTTTCAGATAATATTTTTTCAAATCCTTCTTTCAAAATTTTTTGATACCTTGGAAGCGTTCTTCTCGATTTTCTCATTGAATAAGTTGTTGGATCAGTTTGCATTTGAGTCGACACTTTTTTGGGAACATCTTTCGGATGTCTCAGTTCTTCTTCCTCCTCAATACATCGAAACTCAATATCATTTGACAATTGAACATATCCAGTATTATTACTATATGTAACTCTCATTCGACTGGTCAACGCATTTACATAATCTGCTTCAATCAATCCCAAACTGTCACAAAGTTTTCTATTGACCTAAAAACAATTAGTGCTAATGTGTTGTTTTTTTCCAGTATGAAGATGGGGGAAATAGCTTACCTCGAAAGATATTTTGCGATATGCTCCAACATATGCACAAACTTTGGGTTTCATGTAATGAAGAACGTTCAAAGCTGGAGCTGCATTAAGCATCATATTCTTGATTTTCGCGATTAGAAGATATTCAAAGGTCAAGTGTCCACTTACACGACGATAAAATGAGAGTCTGGAAAAATATGTATGAGCTATGTAGATAAAAAATGTTAGAGAAATGTGAGCTCAAATCAAAAACACTGTCATGAGCGGAATTTTTGAAATAATGTGTATAAATGTTATACTTCTAAAAAAATAAAAATAGATTCCTATCATACATTTTGGAGCTACTGATAATTAGTCAATTCCTCAAAAACACATACTTGGTAACCAAATGTGGCATTGGCATTTTAGTACAAAGCATTCTTGCACCACTCCAAGTTTTCCAAGACTCCGTAAATTTTTGTGTATGCATATCTTCCATAGTTTTATATGCAAAAATCAAGTATCCATTCATATTCAATTCATGATCAACTTCAGGTATTATTTGAGACTTTTTCAGTTTTCTTGAAATTGTCTGCACACTTTTGTAGAATCCTGAAAAGTTTCTCTGATTTAATTTGTCGAATATTTCTCTTCTTGAAAATTTACTGACCACAATTAGTTTCATCGGATTCCTCTCGTTTGGCCAACGTCACTTCACCTTTCACAAAAACCACATCAATCGTCGGGTACACATCTGCAAGTCTCAAATTGCAGAAAAATGTTTATTGCTCTGAATAAAGTTCGAAATCCAACTTTATTTGTTTATCTGCTTTTAATTTTGCAGAAAAAAACTTACATCCGCGTTCAACACTTTTCAATTTTTTGACAGCAATTCGTTCCAAAGTTGGGTTGTCAAGACGAAAAGAAAACGGAAGTTTTATCGACTCTCGAGGGTTTGGCTCATCTATCAAACTGATATGCACATAGGTTGGAATGTTCTGAAAATAAAATTCTTAAACATCACGCGAAAAACATCTCTAAATAAACTCACCAAATTATCATGTGTTCGAAACATTGATACCTATAATAATGATGAGAAAAAACAAACAAAGAGGAGCAAGTGGTGAACAAAAAGATGCAAAAGTTTATGGAATATGAAATAGCTCCTCTTTTTTTGTTAAAATAACCAAATTTAGCAGTAAGCAGAGAAAATTTGGTTTTACTCTCCTCGTCACCGACGACCGCTCCAATCATATCCGTTTCAAATACAAAATGTATTTATATGCTTTTGTTTTTGAGAAATGTTCGGTTTTTCGATGAGAATATTGGTTTTGTTGGAATTTATGACTGTTTCCCGAAATGACGTGTTTTTCTTTGAAAAATGAAAGAATATGGGGGATTTGGAATATGATATCAATGTTGGAAATTTTATAAATGTATCATAGTTGAATTCGATTTTGGATACAACTAGAAATAATGTTTTTTTTAAATTCAATTCCTGAAACTGACGAATTGACGATTCATTCATTTTATCAGGAAAGTTCTTTGAAAATAAAAACTATTTTTTCATTTTTTCAAAAAAAATTCAATTCAATTTTGTGTGGTATTCAAATTTGATTAAGAACGAGTTCAAATTACTTTAAAAATCTGGGAGCTACCCATAAGAGTCAAACTAGATTTCTTTGATATCGCATACGATCCAAATATTTCTCAAAAAAAAAAGATGAGAATATTGGTTTTTATGAAATTTATGACTGTTTCAATGAACAATGACGTTTTTTTTCGAAATTGAAAAAAAATGGAAAGATATTGACAATGCTCAAAAAATTTATGAATTAAACATTGACTGTTTGAAATGACACTGACATTTTCTTATGGAATTAATTAGGTTGTGCGTGTTTTCAGGTTTTGGCGTGAAACTGGAATTTTAAATCGTTTTTTGATGAGTAAAATGTCTCGAAAAGATCACGCATATTTTCTGAAATTTTCATCTTCAAAATTACGTGTCAAAGTTACAGCGAGTAGAAATAACTCAAAAAATATGAAAAAATCGGAAAAATATTACTTCCAAATTCAAGTAGCATAAATTTTATGACTCCAATAAAAATAATGATTTTGAACTGTGATTTTTTGGTTGGAAAATTTTTTAAATACAACAATATATTTGGTAATACTGGAATGATTTTCCAGAAAATAATAATTTTGTAGCAGAGAATATCTGAAATTTATTTGTAATAAATTTTTTCAACATAGCAATTTTCTATTATCCCGCACCGTTAGTGTAATATTTTTTCAACGCAACTTAAAATTTTCACATCAAAAAGAAACTGTAATTAAAATCACATCACAAGTCAGAAATATTTTGAAATATTTCAAATAAACTATTCATTGTCTCAATTTTAATTAGCCTCACTAATTAAGTGATATTGACACACCCATGATACGTTCATAAATCAAACTTGGCAACATTCCATTCCATTCAAGTGTTCCTTCCGTCTTCTTTTTCTTCTCTTGATTTATTTTCATATTGAACAGCTAATCGAAAAAAAAAATGATCGGACTGATAAATCTCACAAAAAAAGATAAAAAACAATGAAAGATGGATATTTGAAAAGACATATGAAATCGCTAATGAGACGAAAAAACAGTTAATGTGTGTCAGTCAATCAATTAAATCTTTCATCCATTTATTTTTTGCCTGTTTTGGGTAAGATTTGCGAAATGTGTAGTTTTTTTCTGTTTGCTGTTTCTAAAATAAATTGTATAATACTTTTATTTTTTCTCAAAACATTTTTAAAAGCAAACACAACACAACACATTTATGATTTATGAGGTCCGAGATAATAATGGCTCTCTTTTTTCTCCACCACTTTCCAACAATTTTCGCTGCTTTTGCCACTTTTCAAATGTATATAGAATTTTTCGATACTTTTTTTTTCTTTTTTCCATTGTTGCTGACTTTTCATAGAAGTCTTTGGGAAAGCCGTTCGGAGTAAAAAAAAAGATATGAATTTTTAAATTTGAAAAAAAATTGTGAATGCTTTTTGACAAAAAAAACACCTGCAGTTCGTTTTCGTGGTTGTCAAAATCAGCAATAATATTTTTTTTCCATTTGTCTGTTGCTTCAAAAATTATGATCTCTTAAAGTTTCTTAGAATTGTACGAACGTTGTACAAAAACCAAAATTGGTGAGTCAGAAAAGTAATTGTGTACTTGCGGCGAGACATGAACAGCATAAAAGTTAGTTCAAACATTCCAACAAAATTATTTTAGAAATTACCCGTACTCAAACTTGATTCTGAAAAAATATGTCAATTTTTCCCGTGTCTTATTGTTTTGTTTTCAGAAAGTACTTCGTCCTATAAAAACCCATAAAAATTGATTCCGGAAAATAAAACAAAAAAATCTGATTTTCGAGTCACTCGGACATATGTTTTCCTGATGAAATTTTTTTGTAACAATTGTTGACAATTTCCTGGTTCATATCGAAAACTGATATATTTTCCCTTTTCTATTTATGTACTACAAAAAAACGAAGAACGTGTACGGTTCGGAAGATTTTAATGTTTTCCATCTTCAAAAAAATCAACAAACTCAACCAAAGACACACATTTATTTCCATCTCTCTACTCTTTTCCTTCTTTTTTCTTCTTCTTCTTCCACAAAAAAAAAGATAGACACACAGAAATATATTTTTTCCTCCTCTTTTCTCTATGTCTCGCATCAACTTGAATCAATGGTATTATCTATTCCATTCAACGTCTGCGTCTCTCAACGCACAACGTCTGTGTCTCTTCTACTCACACACTATTTCTACAAATATCTATTGTTCCCTCCTTACGCCCAAACTCATTTTTCTTTCCTTCTCTATTTCTTTCGGTTTTTTTTGTCTTCAACAACACCAACCACCACCCAATGCATTTACCAGCAGCAGTTGAGTCGAGACAAAAAAAAAGATGAAGGCAGTGGTCAATTTCTAGAAACATTTGTTTTTTTGTTTATGATCTTTATTACTTGTTAGTTTTAATAATTATTTTATTAATTGTTACATGTGAAAAGTTAGGTCATCGTTTTGAATTGGGTCAGGTCATTTTTCTTATGTATGTACATTAGTAATTGTTTCGTGAACTGTTTTTTTTACTTTGTGAATTGAAATTAAATGGAATTCAAAGAATTCAAGATTTTTTGGAATTTTTTTTTGATTTTAATCGCAAATCGGATTTTATATTTCATATTTCATAATTCATAATTTTTTGTTTCAAATCCGATGTTTTTCTCTCGATGTATTTTTCACGGATTTCGTAATAATTTGTCTGTTTTCCCTCATAGAAAATATTTTTCAATGTGATATTTTTTCAGAATTTAGCTGTATACCATCTTTCAGCTTAGGCAATATCAACATCAAACATGGATATTGCATTACCGCAACTTCTTGCTATCGAAGATTATGATGAAAATGAGGTTTGTGCTTTATTTTTTTGTATTCATCCGTTCAGCTCTCTTTTGTTTCCTGTTTAGTCATGCATTTCTAACAACGTTTCTCCATCATCATCATCTTATGTTTCAGAAAATAAATAAATGTATTGTTTCAGGGTAAATTGGCTGCCTCGATTCGATGGCTTATTTCACGGGTATACGAAGAGAAACGAGATATGCCCGACAAATTAAGGGATGGTGTTCAGCGAGATGAAAATGTGAGCATAAGCAAATTGAATTTGAAAAATTCTGTTTTTTTCAGGGACATTTTCAAATCTCTGAAGCAGTTCTCAGCGCCTTATGCAATGGTTCTTTATACGCTCAAGCTGCTGCAAAGATTTTCAAGGAATCTGTACTAGTCACAGTAAGTATATCATTTCATAATAAGACTATAATATATAAAAAATCAATAATTGTAGAAATCACATGGTGCTGTTCTAGCAGCTTTGACTGATTATGGAATTGATGTTTTGCATAGAGCTGAAGAAGGTGGTGAACCTGTTGAAGAAGCACAATTGAAATCGATGAATCCATTTAGTATAGTGAGTTTTTATTTCAAAAAATTCGATAAAATTAGATCATAAAATGAAATATTGCAGTCTGCACATCTGTCAATTATTGATGCCTTGATGATGGCTCATTTAAGAGATGTTGTTCCAGTTCATCGTGTTGTTGATGCTGTCAGGTAATTTTTTTCTGATATTTAGATTTAATGGACAATTTCAAAGTTTAGAAATAAATAATTTAAAAAACTAAACCGTGTAAATATTATTTTTTTTCGGAAAAGTACCGGTTTATCAAATTATATTAATTAAAAATCATAACTACATATCTTCATTTTAAATAGCATATCTTCATTTTAAAATTTACCTAAACCTTTTTACGAGTAATTTTACAAATTTCAAATATATTTTAGCCGTCACACCTGCGTGGAGCCTAGTGAAAAACCGATCGATAGTGTAGATGCTCTTTTATTCTGGATCAACAAAATGTGTTTATTAGTTCGGGATGAAGTTGAACGACAAGACGGCGATATTCAAATACCGGAAATGGAAGATTTATATGAAGATATATCTGATGGACAATGTCTTTGTGCACTTGTTAATTGGTACAGATCACAGGAAATGCCAATTTCGGATATCTCATTTAGTGAAGCTGCCACAACACGAGATTGTCAATATAATTTGATGCTTCTACAGTAAGTTTTATCATACCAATAATAAGAAAAAAAAATTAACCACAATTCCAGACATTTTTGTCATCATCACCTTATCAATGATCCGTTCCACTTTGAAATTGAAGATTTATTATACCTTCGCGATTCGTTGCAAATGAATGTCAACGCATTCTTAGCTGATTTATTTTTGCATTTCGAACCGCCGATGACACCTGAACCTGTTGAAGTTCCACGTGTTGGACCATCACCAAGAAGATTTGTGCCTGCATCTGCAATTCCGGATTTGAGAGCTGCAAATGCTATGGCAAGATCATCAATGAATTCAAGAACTAGGCCAAAGGTTATGGCTCATACACAAATGCAATCACAAACACCATCAAGAGCGACAAGTCGAATGAGTCAGGATAGTTTATTATATTCTAGACCAGCCTCGATTGCGATACATCGTAGAAGTATGGATCAAGATCCAAATATCACTGACTTCCAACAAATTCGCCAAGGTTTCGAAAACCAAGGAGGAGGATCTGGAACTCTCAATCGATATGATGGAAGTGTTTCATCCTCGGTTAGATTGGCTATGGAAGAAAAACGAAGAAATCATGATAAACAAATGGCTCAGATGAAGTGAGTTCTATTTCATTTTTCTTCGAAAATCTTGAAATACAATCGTTTTTTTTCAGTTCTGCAAATGAAAGTGAAAGACTGGAAAAAAGCAAGGCTGCTTTCTTCGCTCTTCGAAAAAATGAAGAGCCGCAGGTGCAAGGAAATGGCAAAGAAGAATGGTACGATCGATTCGAAGCCAAGCTCCGAGCATTAGAATTAAGAGTCGGGCTTGATGACGAGGAAGGTCCTACAAAACTCAATAGAGCTTTGTCTCAACCAAGTGTTGTTCAACAAACTCCTCAAGGTTATATGACTCTTCCAATGAATCAAGGCGGTCCAATGACCCAGTCATATATTCAACATCCACAATACGATCCATATTATGTGCAACAACAACAAGCACAAATTCAAGGAAATTATGCAGCACCGTCACAGTTGCGAAGTAGTTTAAGTAACGGAATGATCAACCACGCTGGAGGATATATGATGCAACAAATGTATCCACCAGAGTATCAGCAACAACAACAACAAATGCCTCCACAGATGCCAGTTGGTGCCTACACACCGGAGGGTTATTTCATTCCTCAACATCAACTCCAGCAACTTCAAAACCCATATATTCCTCAACAGCAACAACCATCTCAACAGCAGAATCCTTATATGCAACCACCAGGACAATATTTGCCAGAACCATCAGCTCATAATGCATTCCATCTACACTCAAAAAGTGACGATGCAACAAATCAGCAAATGGATCCGGCACTTGAGATTAATCGAAATCTTACGAATTGGGGAATGACTTACAAACAGGTAAATTTTGTGATTTGTGGGGAGATTGAGAAAACATTTCAGCCGACAATTAATTTTTGATAGTGTTTTTTAAAAATCATTTCATAATTGTTCCAGGACCAACAACTCCAACAACAACATCAAATTCCCCCTCAAATACCCCAACAAACCCCACAAAGGTCACAAAGACGAACATGGCAAAATGAAACATTTATCAAAAATGAACTTGATTTGGTAAATAGCAAGGAAATGGTTCCACACGTCACGGATGAGGTATGCAGCAAAATGTTCTGAATTTTTCTCAAGATTGCAATTTTTCAGACAACAACGCAACCCGAAGAAGCCAGAAAACTTCAAGAAATTGTTGCAAATGATCACTATGGAAATCGAGAAACTTGTAAGTTTCATTTTTGTTTTTGTTTATGGAATTCGACCTTGAGAGAGAGAGAGAGAGGTGACAGAAACACTTGATTTATGCGGAATTTATTATTCTGTTAATTTATGTGCATTTTTCTCAGAAATTCCTCAAAATTTTTTAATCGGTTTTTAAGGCGACAAAAAGTTTCTTATCAGTAACCCTTCCCAAACACTCTTTTTCATTCAATAACAAAACATTCCAGCTCGTATGCACAGCAATATGCAAGAAATGGATGATTCATCACGAAGATCAGATGATAGTCATCCAGAACTTGCTCAACCAAGTTTTGTTTTTGCTGATGGAGAGGGAACCAATGAAAATGCGGAGAAAATAGTGAGGCACATTACTTTTGTTCTAATTCATTTTTCTTTTTTCTAGGCGAACGAACGAAGAATTGCGAAAAAAGCCGCATTGATTGCAAAAACAATGAAAAGAAAAGAAGAGATTGAAACAAAAGTAGACATGGCCGAACAGAGAAATGCTGAGCGTCGACAACTTGAAATGGAAAAGAAGGAGCTTGCACTTCAAAAGAAAATTGAGAAAGAGCAACAACGGCAAAAAATTTTGGAAGAGTACAAGCGGAAGAAAATTGAGAAAGAATTGGGTGCCGAATTGTCGTCCGCAAGATCAACTGGTGGAAGAGGACATTCTCAGCCACCGTTTGTTAGAACAAAATCACAAATGAGTGATGTCACTGAATCAAGACAAAACACTCCAAGAATTAGAGGACAATCATCGGTTGAACAACGTGTTTCAGTTAGCAGCTTAGCTGAACCAAGTAAGATTCATTTTTAAAAAGTTTTAAAAGTTAAATATTTTTTGAAAACTTAAAATAGAAATAAAATTAAAATCTGTAATACATTGGTATACATCACATCTCTCAAATTTTCAGCTCATAAATTGTACGCCAGAGCTGTGACTAAATCCAATCGAGGACTTATCAACAATGCTCTACAATTCAGTGTTTTCCCGGGAGCTGTTAACAACACAACTAGACAATCTGTAAGTGACTATTTTTTTGAATTTTCTCAAATGACAAATCAATTTTAGACAATATCTCAAATGGCCAGCTCACCCTCGAAACACTTCCTCATATTATTCCGCGATCAGAAATGTCAATATCGTGGTTTATACACTTGGGATGAAATATCCGACACAGCCATTAGAATATCCGGACAAGGTCCGCCGAAATGTACAGAAGCCATGATGAGTATGATGTTCAAGTGAGCTTTTTCCCTATATTCTCTATTTAAAAAATCACAAGATACTTTTCATTTTCAAATTAATAATCAATGAACAATATTTCAGATATGATTCTGGTGCCAAAAATTTTACACACATTGCCACAAAACACTTATCAGCCACAATTGATGGATTTGCCATATTGGATCAATACTGGCAAAAAACTCGTATCCCACATTCGGGGAATGCAACACATCGAAATAATTGAATTTTTGTCTCTCTCCCAAAAATAGTTTTTATGTGCATTTTCACTTAACAATATAGAGCTTTTTGTCGTCATCCAAAAGTTTTCAGTTTTTCTTGTCTTTGAGAATTTCAGTTTTTGAGAATTCAATCAAATTTTTTTTGTATTTTCTGTGATATCTTGTTTTTGCTCAATGAGTTACGACTTAAAGTGCTTCTGTAGTTTATTTATTATTTTTTTAAAAATAATTTATGATTTATTATTCTTGTCATTGCATAAATCTGTAATTACGGTTCAAAATTCTCATTTTCAGTGTTTTTCAAAAAATTTATTTTCACCACAAATCAACTTTTGTGGAACAAAATTTATTACGAGCTCAGAAAAAGTAACCGGGTAACAGTTGACTTTGAAAATAATAAAAAACATTGGTAGGACAAAAATTATACACTTTCGGATTTCATGAAAAATAGACTAGCACTAAACGAACAAGAGATACAGTGTTTGTCACTTAAAAATCGGGATTTGGGATGGGGAAACTGAAACTGAAACTGAAATAAAAATTGGAAAAAATAAAAATAGATGGGGGCAAGAAAAGGTTATTTTAATGGGATAATACAAGAAAAATTCGAAGAAAAATGAACCGGCAAATGAAATCGAATAAAATAAGACTACAATTCGTGTTTAACGTCAAAGTGACACAATTTGTGAAAACAGATAACATTTGAATAAACATAAATCACAAGAAAAATACAACAACAAAATTTTCTCTCCAGATGTGATACATTTCAAGATAAAATTAAGTGATGACAAACATTTAGGATAACTGTAAAAATGGGGGGGGGGATCAAGGGAATGGAGTGTTTTCGAAATGAAAGAAAGACTCTTGCAAAAATAATTAAATTAATCACTTGGAAAATTAAAAGGGTAGAGAAAAGAATTAGGCAAGCATTTCAAGCAGTATAAAACACTCACAAATTATGACAAAGAGTTTTCAAACGGGGAAAATTGAAAAATCATAAGAAGAACTACTATACATATATATAGAATTCGAAGTTGAAGCGGGGTGAAAAAAGCGAAAGAGTTTTTTCTTGACATCTAGTAGCGAGGCGGCAGCTGACCACTGACTGCAAAGAAAAGAAATGATTACCAAAAATAAAATGAAAATGTGAGTTTGGAAACTATTTTTGAAAAAAAAAACAAAATAATTTCCTTGTTGCTGGCTGATCTTGAATTTGAAATTCTGTTAGAAACTGTGATGGTGTGAAACAACAAAAATATGTAATGATATCTTTCCATTATGAATATATAGCACAGCTTTTAGCACCCAAAAGAAACAAGCGCAAAAAAGTACCCATTTGATTGGTGGTTAGGCATACAAGGAGATCATATTGAAAATGACTAGATCAAAGTGTTTGAAAAACCATAAAAATTGGGGGGTGTAAAAAAACGGGGGATGAGAAATCGTTGACTAGAATTTTTCTAATAATGTTGCATTTGTGGATGTGGGATATACTCACACGGCACAGTTGGAACATATCCCTGAAGAGTTTGCAACAAATATGGATTGAATTGTTGTACCGGTTGACCCCCGGCTTGTTGAAACACCACGGTTCCATTTTTATCCATTGTTGGTCTTTTGCAAGGCACTCCACCCTAAAAAATGTTTTTTTATAAATTTTAAATTGGATTTTCGATTGTTTATTTTGACTCATCCAAAAATAATGGTTTTCTGATTTTTTTTTAATTTTTAAAGGAGAGGAAGATATCAATTTTTTAAACGTAAAATTGGGATATGAAGCGGATAGACCACTGTGTCACGTAGAATTCAAGGTTACTATACCACACAAAATCCTAATTGTGAAACATCCAAGGTCTTTTGGAACAGAAGAAGCCTAGGACCAAGGAAAATTAAAACAGACCTTACAGAATTTTGGAAGATTTATCCGATTTCTGATTTGTTTTTGAAATTTCAGAGTATCGTGCTTCATTCTAATGAATTTTTGAATGCCTAGTTCTAACTTGAAAAAATGTTGGAAGTTGGCAAGAAAACCTTAATAGTATTGTGTTTTTGTTCAAAAAATGAATCCAACAAAGACTCCCTCTCCTTCGATATACTCTATAAAAAGCAAGTTTCAAGAAAACCATCATTCTCATGTGAGTAAAAAAATTTCACCAAAAAAGCAACAAAAAAAGAAGTTGTTAAAATAAATTTCGATCTGTTCCACGTAAAAATTGTCTCATGCTCACAACACTCCAAAAATAACACATTAGGCATTTCTCTAGAATTTGTTTTGAACTATTTTTTTTTAATTCTGATTATACTAAAAAAAATTTTTAATGGTATTATACCGCAGCAGCAGCAGCCAATAACAAATGATTCGTATCAGTGATAGATGTAGACGTTGTTGGTATATGATCATCTTCCAATCCGCGTTTTCGATTGATTCGATGTTGTGATTGCTGCTGATGAAGTTGCTGTTGATGTTGAGATGTTGATGTGGCGGAACCGGCGGATGCTGCCGCGACGGCAGCCGCCGCCATCGATGCTTGTTGAGCGGCGGCTACAGCGTGCGCAGAAAGCATGCCGGCTCCGGCTCCGGCCGCCGTTCCGCTGATGTTGCCAAGCAATGCGGCTGTTTGCAGCTGCTAAAGAAACAGAGAGCGCTGTCAGCCGGGCAAAAACGTTTTTCTTTTTTTGATTTTTTTCTTCTAGTGTTTTTTGAGCTAAAATTTCTAAAAGGTTTCAAAATCTTCCTCTCTCGCATTAAATTATCATAGCTGTCATGCTTTTTTTGCGATAGAAAATGCTTCTTATTCCCTTATAAGAAAAAGCTGGGAAAACTGTTGAACTTAAAAATAGAAGGTTTTGAAAATACAAAAAGCAGGTGATTTTCCATTTTTTTATTGCGAAATTTCAGTTTATTTTCGAAAATAAAATAATTGAGAGTAGAGTAGAGAAAAAACATATCATCATTTCAGGCATGCAATTTCAGTCAATTAGAGCAATCACAACGCTTTGAATGTTAGCTTTCCAAAAAATAATAATGAATAAATTCAAAATATTTGTATGTTTTTTTAGCGCAAAACTTTGGTGGGTGCTGACAGCATTACAAAAAAGTGGGGATTGAACCAAAAAATGTAATAATAAATAGACTATAAATACAACAAATCTGAAAAATTGGCGTACCTGTGTGAGAGATGCCGTGTATGGATCTTGAAGGACTGGTGAGTAGACAAGTCCTTGATAATATGGATAAAGTGGGGCATTTGGCATCATGTTAATTGAGGCAGCAGCTTGTTGTTGCTAAAACATTTTTTCAAAGTTAGATAAGCAGATCAAAAAATAATTTACCATTGCAATTTGAGCCATTGGATTGACGATAGCGGCTTGATTTCCTCCAGAATTTAATTGAGCTGATAACAGATTTTTAAGAGCTAAATGATTTCTGCCATTTATCAACAATTGATCCTTGATGTGTTGTGGTGGATGAAGATATTTACATTTTGGATTTTCTCTTGTGCATCTTCCCTGAATAAATTCGAATTCATTTTGATGTTACATAACAATAAGAACTAGCGAATCGCTTCAATTTCTGAGAACAATTTTCAGACAGTAAGAAATTCGAGATTTGTTTCAAAGTTCAGACAGACTCCTTCAAAAACATTTAGTTTTTCTCGAATTCTTCTGCTTCTTTTTTGCGTGAAAAATTTCATCAAAATTTTACGATTTTCTTTCAAAATCCTATTACATTATTATGTTGACACCAGTTTGACGACCAATCAAATTTCCGTGTTTTTCTTCCTCCCCTTTTTCTTCCCCTTCTTCTATTTTTCCCCCAAAAACAGATCGAAATATAAGATAAATATGGTCCCTTCAAAAACAACCATCTCCTTTTTCCTCATCCTCCTCATTTTATTGTTAATTGTGTTATGTCTCCGTCCTTCTGTTCTTTCAAAAATTCCCCCGAGATGTGTCAGCAGGTTCTTATTTTATTTTACCCCAAGAATAGAACAAGACAAAAATTTGCGAAGAAAAAAGGAAGAAAGAAGGGCTCAAAGTCTCTAGAGAATTTACTGGAGCACAAACTCTCTTCATCATACTTGGCGTTTTGCGACACACATTTATCATCAATATATTGGTCACTCATGGGACACATATATTTTTTCTGTGCAAAAGTTTAGAGAAAGAACAAAAGTACTGTACCTTAATACTATCATAACATGCAGTGACCCGTCCTTGTTGCACGTCAACATTTGGTGGTGGATGAGCAAATTTACATTCTTGATCTGATCGCGCACATTGACCGCGTAGAAATTCACGACATACTTCTACCTGCAACAAAATTATACGTATTTCATTTAAATTATATCGAATTTAAATTTTGATGTGGCTGTTCCTTGTAATCCTATTATACTTTTGAGTTTCATACATTTTACATAATCCGTTTAAAAACTAGTTGAAAAAAACCCCCTAACTCATCAATATGAGAAAACCCTTCTTACGAAATAAGTGATACAGTAGTTTTTCGAAATTGGCTTGTGTTTCTGCAAAAAAAGACGAAGAAGGAAAAAACTTAATTAACCCAAACCCGTCCGGCGCATTCTATTCTCTTTTTTGTCTTCCAATGTGCTCTTTCGAACAAAAAGTGCAATTTGGGATAGAAAAAAATGGCTACTCATCTTTTTTTACAACTACTGTAGTTTGAAATAACGGAAATTAAATTTTTCCAGTGGTTTGACGATAATTATTCTAGAGACGAGAGGAAATGGGGGAACCGACAAAATTTGAAGGGCGGGAGGGGTCGGGGTGTACAGGTGGTTTTGACATCAAACAGGAAACTGCTGGAAAATGTGATTGAAATGGATGGGAACAATTTTGAGACTGATTTAAATGATGATTTTCTGGCGAAAAAATTTAATATTATATTTTCTGTGAGATAGAAACCGTTCCCCCAATTTTCTAACCCCTTGCAAATTTCGTAATATGCTTCCGTATTTTTCGCTTCTTTTTATTTGAAAAACACACAAATTTCTCTTGTTTGAAACAAAACAACAAAACTGATGATGCCGAAGCGGTCGCCAGATGTTTATTTGTCCCCCCGCGCTTCCAAAAAAAAATAATAAATATTTACAATTTCTTGCTTGCTTGCTTCAAAAATGTCGTTTTTCTTCTAATTCGCTATTCAGGCCCCAAATTTGGGAGCGACTTTTTGTTTGTCCTCATTTTCGTGGAAGACGAAAAAAAAGTGTATGTGTGGTTAATCAAACAATCGTGGGAAGTAAGATGCTTCTTGGTAGTGGCATTCAAAATGACATTCAATTCTTATTCATTTTTGCCCATGAATAAAAATGTCTCCTATTACTTCCTATCCTTTCTTCGTATTTTGGTATTCATTTCGAAGTCAAATTGGATTATCAAAAAAGTCCCCCTTTTTTTGTCTGCCTTCATCCACCATTTCCGTGCGTGTCCCAAAAGAATAGACATCAAAATGCTAATTGCGCGATGGGTTTCAAAAAGTTTATATCCTTCTTTTTTGCATGCACTTTGGGAGAAAACGAAAGAAGAAAAAAGAGAAAGTTTTTTTGGGTGTGGGGTTTTATCGAAACTTTTAATCTTTGACGGAAACAAAACAACCCCAAAGGATTTGAAAAAGATGACTTGAAAAGATTTTGACTAGAAATTGAAATTGCTGCTGAAACTGGAACCAGTTGTTATTGAAAATATTAGAAAGATCGAAGTGAAACTATTTTGTGATTTCGAAATTTGGAATTTTTGAACTCTGATAAAAATATTTAGGTATGGTATTTATTTATCACGAGTTTTTTTTTAAAAACATTTTTGGGGTTTTATTTTCCATAATTTTCATAGAAACTAACTTTCTTTTTCACTAGTAGATCAAACATGTTTTTTTAATTCTCAAATAAAAATGTACCTGTAACCATCGGCTATCCTTTACATTGAACAACTGTGAGACAATATTAGCATTAGGTGCAGATGCAGCGGCAGCGGCTAGCGATGAAGCGGCAGCTACTGTCGTTGCGGCGGCAGCAGCATTACTGTTTTCATCAAACATTCTGAAAAAATGAAAAATGTAAGAAAATCGAATCATCGGGAAAGAGGAAGAAATGAAAAAATAAACAAATGAAACGGAAAAAATGCAAGGGTGAATCACTATAACTATACAGGTCCTTTTTATTTTTGTTACGAAAAAAAGGTGTGAAATGAAAATTATACAATTTTGATTGTTATTAGATAATTCATAAACAAAGCCAGATAAATAAATAAACAAATAATAGAAAAAACCCCGCGAATTTTTCGCAGTAATACATACATATATACATTCAATAATGGCAGAATGACAAAAAACGAGAGGAAAAAAGAAAGAAAACCAGTTTTACCTTTTTTTCATGCCCACCGACACATACACAACCCTCCTCTTATAGGCGTTTTTTTTCACTTTTCGATCTGTCGAACTAATAATATTTGAAATACTCTTTCTTTACATGGCAAGAAAAAAAACCAGAAAATGAATACATGTATGTATGTATGTATGTATTGAGCCAGTCAACGGAGCCAATTCATCATTTTATACGAGCCCCCAATTTTCTATTTTTTCTTTTTCTATTTTTTTTTACTATTTTAGAGCTTTGGTCCTAATTTGTGTTCGAAAAAATATCAATAAAAGAAAAGAAGAAAGTATCAGAAGCTACAAACACAAACAACAAAAGAAAAGCTTCAATTTAGTGTGTGCAATATTTTCGCGCATTAGGCCACGCCTCTTTTCCAGCTACAGTAGTTTGAAAATGGGGGATTGGTTTATGTGTTGTGTGTGTGCGCGAGAAAAAAAGAGCATCGGCTGAAAAATTGAGAGATTTAGAGAAAAATAGGGAGAAAGATCGATGTATGTTTGTGTGTATGAATGGAATGGTATAATGGATTTTTCGGGAAAAAAATATTTGAAATTTTTTTTGATTTGGTTTTTGGTTAGTATGAACTATAGACTTCGAACGTTGAAATGAATTTTACTTTTTTTTTGAAAAAAAAAAAGTCATTCAGGATATCCTAATAGCTAACAGAAATTTTCAAACAGAAGTTTGTTTTTTCCTCAAAAAAATCAGGAAAAGAGCACATGAGCCAGCCCATAAAAATAAACATTCATATATGTAACCATAGAGTGAATTCGGAGAAAAAAAAGAAAAAAGAAAGAAAGTTTTATTATAATTTATGAGCCGTATGTTTTACGATTTTTGCGATAATTTATTATTGTTTATGAAAAAAAGAAGAGAAGCATAAGAGAACCGCCTAAAACAAAGAGTTTTTTTCATCAAAAATGATGAGTCAGATAAAAAAAAACAACAACACATAAAAAATAATCAATCGATAAATAAATAACAGACACACATACACCACACAATTTTTTATCACATTAAACCAATCGTTTTGATACATGATAAGAGAGGCATATGAAAAATCGAAAAAATAATGAAAAAACAACAAAAAATTGTGTGAAACTTTTTTTCAGCGGTGTTTTCTTTCATGTACCATTTTTATGTTTTATTGGTTTGATGTCTCAAAAAACTGATAAAAACGAGATGATTCGAATTAACCTAATTAAACGAACTTTTGGGTCAAATTGTTTTCAAGAAAAAATGTGACAAAAAAGATAGAGAGTGTTGTGACAAGTTGCAATTACACTTTTTGATTGGATTGCCAAAGCTCTTTTTTTTGAAAAAAAATTTTGAAACATATCTTGTACTGAATGGAAAAAAACCAGAAGTAAAAAAACCCAGAAAACGGAAGGAAAAGCGTAGAAAGAAAAAAACTAGCGAATGAGTGATGATCCAAAGTGTGTCGATTTGTCAAACTCGACTTCTGTCTGTTTGTGTGCACTTTTGGGTTTTGGCACCAACGCGAAAAAAAAATAAATGCATTTTTGAATTGTATCGAGGAGCAGAAGGAAGGACAAGAATGAATATCAAATTAGATAGGCGGGTTTTTTGTTGTTTGGAAAATGAAATGAAAAAGAGAAGCAGATACAAGAACAAAAGAAATGAATCTATTTGGCTCATTTAGTAGTGACAGAGAGAAGGAAAAACCAATTGGGCACTTTTTTCATTTCATTTCATTTTATTTTATTTTATTGTTGTGGTTATTTGGTGCCAGTTGGAATGGGATGAAAGATGCTCTGATAATAGCCACATTTTTATGAGATGAGATGAGCTAAATGAGTTTTTTTTTAGTATTTCGAAACAAAATTACTGTAGCATGAGTGTATTGAACATTTGATCTCAATCAATTTTTTGAAATGAAAAATAGAAAAGTGAGAAATGAAAAATGAAACAGTAAAAAACAAGGTTGGTCATCAACTGTTTTTTTGATTGACACAAAAGCGAGTTAGGTACTTGAGGTGGGTGTGAAAATAAAAAAGGAAAAAGAAAAGAAGAAGAAGAAGAAGAAAATCAAGAGCACATATAAACAGAACATATAAAAAGCGTGCAGGCTCAAATGTCGCGCCTTTTTTTGCTCATTCTTTTTCGTCACCTTACCAAAATGCAAAACGATACTCTCGAAATGAATTTATTTATTTTTGTTTATTTATTTATTTTTCATTCTATTCTATAGTATTTTCTTATTGATGAGAATTATGATGATCATCAAAAAGAAAAGAAAAACAAAACAAAAAAAACTAAAAAATGTGTTGTTTCTGAACATCAAAAGGGATGAGGGAGGTGGTGCGTATCGCCAAACACACAAACCAATAATACAAAATGCAAATAATATTAATTTATCAAAATTTATATATATTGGGTGGGACCTCAAAAACTCACTCACAAACACATATGCTTCCAATTTTCATTATTAGTATTATTTATTGATTTTTGCTATATTTATTTTTCAACAAATGAAAAAAATGAATTTTTATTTAAACAGACAGGTTCTTCTCCTCTAACTATATAATTTTTGGTAGAATAAAAATCAAAAATGATTGACTTGTCAAGTTGAATCAGTAAAAGTGTTATTGAAATGAAATGTTATCTATGTTGTTCTGTTTTTTTCATTTTATCGTAAAAAAAGTGATACCGATTGGAACGAAAAAATATGAAAAAAAAATGCTGATAGGTACAAATTTCAAAAAAAGAGTGTTTACGAAAAATATTGTGAAAGAAAGGCATACACATACAAAAAAAACAAGAAGAAGAAACGACCTTCAATCACATGTCGAAAAGGAGAATGAAAAAAAGAAGAAGAAGAAGAAACAGTAATGAAAATAATGCATGAAAAAAACAGTTCTTAGTTTAGTTTACTGTTCGGAAAAGATTTGAAACCGAGATATGAAAAAGAAAAAAGTGTGACCGTTTTTGGTAACATGACTTGACTTGATTACAACAATGCAAAAAGTGACTTCAAGATTGGAATGCCCACACATTGACCCTCGATTGTTGTGTAAAATTTATTAGAAAAAAATTCTGGGAGAAGAAGAAGCCAGCGGTTTTTTGTTCGCACTAATAGGAGAAGAAGCAAATGATTTTTCTTCTTCTTTTTGTCATCTATATTTTTTGTTCCTTCAATTTATTTATTTCTCTGGTCCTCTTCATGCCATTAAACAATATATGAAACGCCGTCGAGATGTAATAAACGTGACAATGATCAAGAAATTGAGCAATTAGTTTTTTGGGCTCAAGTTTTTTCAATGAAAGGTGTGACTTTTAGGCGGAGCTATCTACACAGTTTTATTCATTTTTCTAAAAAAAAATGTTTGATGAAGTGAGTCAATTTTTACACATTTCTGCGCTGACAAATTGCTTTTTTCTCTTCCTGAAGATCGGTGCAACTAAAAATCATAATAAATGTGTTGTTCCGTGCACATTTATCAACGACTCCGGAAAGTGATCATAATTCACTCAACTCAAAAAAAAATCCACCAATGCTGTAAAGTACATTTTCCATTCTATGTATCGAAGAAATTGTTCTAAATTAGGTTGCAAACACAAAAAAGAGAAAAACAAAAGAAATAGCAAGAAGAAAGTAGTTGCGGATTAGAATAGTGGTGGTAGTGGTACAAATGAGCCGGCAGAAAACTCAATTTGGATTGATTACATGAGGCTGCGATGCTATTTTATTTGATTAAAAAATAAACAATGTTGCATTATTTCTCTTCTATTTTCTTCCAAAAAAATTAGGAGCGATGAAATAAACGCGAAAAAGGGACCACTATTATATTTAATTGTTATATCGAAATCCATTATACGTATATTATTCTTATTGTGCGCACTAGTCGTTTCATTTCCGGATAAAAGTGGATGAGGAGAAAATATATTATTTACGGAACAAAATCTGGACGCAACATTCATTCTACTTAAAACTAAAGAATGCTTAAAAATCAAAATGATGATTACAAACATGTGGTTCTTTGAACACCGATTCATGTGAGTTTTCAGATGTTGCATTTTTTTTCAAAAACTACGGTAATTATTTATCAGATGTAATGAGAGAAAATAAATTCTCTCTCAAAAATATTTGATAACACTTTGAAACATGCCGCTGGTCAAAGATTACTGTAGGTGCGGTATGGAATGCTCTGCTAGTCAGGCTAGTTTCTATAATTTTAAGAATTTGGAAAAAAACGTAGAGCAAAAATGGAATGTTTACAGTTAAGAAGACTCGAATAGGGATAAAGTACGGAAATTAAAAATTATAACTTTTTTCAGAGAGATGGTTGAACACAGAATTATGATAATTAATTACAGAAAACTATAAGTCGCTTCTAGAATTTCTAAAAGTTCATATATGTAAGACTCTTCAAGATGATTCAGAAAGTCGTAAATTTGAACCTCGTGACCTTCTTCGAACTTTTAAATTATTTCAGCCTAATAACCAAAAATGATTCACCCTATGTTTTTCCGCTTCAACCTTGCTCCCACACCCCCCCTTCCTGAAAACTATATAACTTCTCCAATTTAACTAACCTATATGGCATCTGTCCAACCAACAATCCATCAGGTGTCATATATGTTCCTTGTGGTGGTGGTGGCTGTTGTGGTGGAGCTGACATAACTAAATGCGGTTGATTATAACTATAGTACTGCAGTCTCGAAATGGTTGATTCTGTAAACTGAAAATAGCACTAGTAGCACTCTCTCATAGCGGCAGTCAAACAAATGCAACAATTGTGTACAAAAAAGGAAAAGAGAGAGAGAAACAGAGAGAGAATGATTATTATCGATGTCAAAGTTTCAAAATTGGTTCTATTATTGGTTTTCGTTGATGTTGCCCAAATATAGACAAACTCTCGAGGAAAAAAGAACCAGACGAGACAAAAAAGTTGTTGATTTTTGAGTGTTGCCAATTTCGCGAAATTTTTTGCAGTTTCTTTTTTCCAGGCAAACAGAAAATACATCGACTTAATTAATTTATACCACAAAAAATGTTTGTTTCGTAACAGAAACGGAAAATTTTTCGCGAAATAAAAAATGTATTGTTCTGTAGCATTTTCAGCAACGCACGCAAAAATGTTATTAATTTTCTGTGTGTGTTGGAAATAAACATATATTCATTTATATATATATAAATCAAATGAGGTGTGGTTTCTCTATTGGAGAATTGGAATCATTTCGTGTCAGGAAAAAAATAGTAGGTGTGTGGGTTTGGAATCGACAAAATAATGAGTGGGCGTCAAAATATCTATAACTTTAAAAAACGGCATTTCCGAAATTTCGTAATTTGAAATCCCCTACCGTAGGCCTAATGATAATATTGTGAAATACAAAATTGCGTTTCAAAAAATTTACTGAAATAATGATATTAATGTTGACTTCGACTATTTCGAAATTCTAAACCCACTACAGAAATCCTTGCGAAATGGTGTCATGTCTTCACTACAGAAGGCCTTATCATTGAATTGAGAAATACAAATTGTACAAGCGCATGGAAAGCAATGAGAAAAGGGCATATTTCAAGCCTGGATTTATTTTGAATAAAGTCTCAAAGATATCTCAAGTTTTGTAATTCAAGGTCCTTACAGTAATCCGAAAAAGCTTCATTAAACCGTGTCAGGAAAAGTAAGGTCTAATTTATCTGAAATGAAAACAAAATGAGTAACGAATTTCGCAATTTGAGGTCATCTACAGTATCCTTCTAATTTGAAAATGATGAAATACTTACAAAACCGAACATGAAAAAAGAATGGACGAGAGCTTTCTCAAAACCCATATATTCATTTTAAAGTCATGATTTTAGCAAAAATGCGCGAAACTCCGCCCACTTTTTTGCCTCCACCCCTTCGTTTCCTTAAAAGGACAACCAAAGAAGACAAAACGACAAAAAAAGAAAAAAAAAGAAGAATAAGAAGAAGAAAAGGAAACTGAGGAATAGAGAATAATGTGATTAGCAACTGTATTATTTGGTATTAGTATCAATTGCCATCTGTCTTTTCTTTTTTTGCTGCCAGTCGGAGTCTGTCTTGAAAAGGCCAAACATGCATGCGGTTTGTTTTATTTGAAGATGAAGAATCTTGTATTGTTATTGGTGTGGGGAAGGCTCTTTTTTTGTCAAGCCGAGAATGACATCTTCCATCAATCGGTCATTTGAAGTGAAAAAGATGACAAAAAAGGATGGCAAAATAAGAGATATATATAGTTGAGTGGTGTCGCTTGAGATGCTCATTTACATTTGACACTACAACAACTATCATTCTATTCTGTTTTATTCTATTCCAAATGAAAGAAAGAAAGAACTAAACTGAACTGAACTGGGATTTGGGGACAAATGAATGAATGTTTTCGAAGTAACACAAAAAACACCATTTTTTGAAGGTGACTCAAGATATTGCCTTTGGGAATTGACAAAAGAAACAGACGGGTTGTTTTGTTTCAATGTTTGGCTGGAAAAAAACGAACAAAAAAATGAGTCAGCAAACAGAGAAGGCGTAGGTGATTAGTGTTTTTCTTTATTTGGGAAAGTGTACGATTTTTTGGAAAAATTTTTGTTGAACGTTGATTCAATACTGAATCAGAGAATAGGTTTGAATTTTGAAAAAAGTTTATTTTCTATTTCAAAAGTAATTTCCATATAAAGAAAATCATTGTATTAGTTTCAGAATAGTTTGAAATGTACGTTTGAAAAATGGAATCAATATGTTTATTTTGTTAGGAATATTTCATCTACTCGATTCATGAGTTCTAGGCTTCTCAAATGGACTCAAAACATTTTCTTAACAAAGTTCAAACTTTGCAGAGAAATTCTTGGAGCTCATTTTGCAGAAAAGGAACATATCAGACAAAAGCCAATTCCATGTTTCCAAACACCAAAAGTCACATTTTTCCAGCTTGAACTTTTTGGACATTAGACAAAGTTCGAAATCATAACAAATTTTTATAAAAACTGATAGAGCACAGAAAGATTCTAGAGAAAAAACCAAAAGTACTTTTAAAAATGACCGGTTTTTGATCAAACTGACTTGAAAAATTCGCAACTTTTTACTGGCTCTCTGGGAATTTGGCAACATTTTTCATCCGAAATGTTCATCCAAAAAAAGTATGTTGCTGCAAACTTTTTTTTTCTATGTGACGAACTACGATGACTCGATCATCAATCAATAAACAAAGTTTCTCAAGAAAATGAGTTTTTGAAATGGAAAAAATGTCCGTTTTTAATTTTTTCAAATTTTCACACGCAATATCTTACAGTAGTTCATTTTTCAAAATAATAATATTATTGAAAAGGTATGTAGGAAATTCCAGATTGCGTGAAAAACTATAAAATTAATAGTGCGTAAATAAGAAAACATTTTCTGAAAAATTCAGTGAAAAAAAAACACATTTCTTTCGGGATGGAGAAAAATGGGTGTAACGACATCTGTTGCATAATCTGTCACTTTGTTTAGTTATTCATGTATTCCATTTTGTGTGATTTTCTGGCCAGTTTTTGGACCCATACATTTGAAATTCGAAATAATGCATTCGAAATTACCTTTTTGGTTGTTTGGCTTGCCAGCTTTGTCAAGAATAGAAAGATTGAATGCACCCAAAGATCCACCCACCCATTTATCCAAAAATTTTCACCAAACTGCCAGAAAAAACCAAACAAAACGAATTCATGTTTGTCGGGTACATCTTTTTCTCTCCTTTTTAGGCGTCCCAATTATTTTTTGTGGCTCAAACCAATCTGTCTTTCATCTCATTTCATTTCATTTTCCAATTGATATATACTCAAATAGAAAAAAAAGAAGAGGAACAAGAATAGAATAACGAGCGACAAAATAGATGAAAAAAAAGAGAAAAAAAGAGGAAAAAATGCTTGAATATGTATGGTAATATTCACTTTTATGACCGTTTTCGGGACGAAAAAAAGAAAGACGACAAAAAGAAGAGACGATGTGGTGTGCTCTTATAAATTTCTTAACAATTGGCATCGCATGTCCAGAATGAATTACAAATGTATTTGTATCTATGTTTTTTCTTATTTCAAAAAGGGACAAAATGAGCGATTAATGTTTTGGGCACAGACACAAATATAAGTTTTCAGGTGATTGTGGCGCGCATGAGCAACAAAGAGCTGAAGAATTTGAACAACGGCTTAACTGAGACTCGATTAGTGCAACGTATTTGTACGGTCACGATGTTTTTTTTCTTCGCATTATTATTGTTGTGTTTTGCCAATTGTGGTTTGATGGTTTATCAATCAATGTTCAGAAAGGATGTTTGAAAAATGTTTGAAATGTTGCAAACATTTTGAAATAATGTGTTTGAATGTTTCATACAGACATCCAGAAACCGAAGATGAATACATTGTTGATGACAATTTTTGGGAGAACGGGATATGTTCGGAAAAAAATAAAGTTAAATAAAATATTATAAGAGTTTCTAATTGCTTGAAAAAAATGATAATTGGAACAAATACATTGTGAAAGTACAATAATCAAAATAATATATTGCAATGTTTTAACTCACAGCAAAGTGCGAAAAAAAAAAACTCAAAAATTAAACTTTCTAAATTTTTCATACCAGTCCTAAATTATTCGTCTTTTTTGTCAAAATTTTTATTTTCAACAAGAATTTTCAATTTTTCGAACTTACTTACATTGGTGATGTTATATTTTTCACACAATTTTCCATTCATAAACACGAAACAAACATATTCTTAATATCAAATTTCTCACGTCAAACATTCCGAGCTTCTCATTCTCATTTTCTGTTTTTTGTTTCAAAAACATCCATTGTGATCGTTGGAGGTTTATTTTTGTTTAAAAAGGCCAAGAACTTCAACAAACAGTTGTCATCAATCATTCCCACCTGAAAAACGCTGAAAACCTCCAGTTTCAGTAGCAACTGTTTCAGAAACAAAAGTTTCTGTTTGATTTCATGACCTTTGAATCATCTGAAAGTATTTTAGAATGAGCGAGATATGATTGATCTGTTTGATTTGCAAAGGAAGAAGAGAACAGTATACAATATTGCCAATTTCCATGAGAGCTTCGCTATTTTCAGTTTTTCCAAAGTTTTCTGAACCTTTATGATCATTATTTACCAATTCGAAAGTTGCTTCATATATTTTCTCAGGATTGTGAAAATTTGAAAAACAAAAAACAAAAAGGTTCGTCACAATTGTGACTCGCAGAATTTGAATTCAATATTAATCTTTTCAGAGAATAATATTCTCAAAAACTAATCTTTTCAAAAAAAATGAAATTTTATACTTGTAATTATGAAAATTTTTTATTTGTTCAATTTTTCTCAGGCAATTTTCAATTTTTTTCACACAATTTTCAGTCGATATAATTTCAGGGCAGCCCAATTTCGAGCAGAACTATTATATTTTCTCACAATTTTTTTTCATGTTTTTCAGAACTTCAATATTCATTTTCAAATTGAAAACAAATTCGATTTTTAATTGTTCATTCTCACGAAAGCATTTCAGTTCAAAAATATAACGTCTATTTTCAATTTTTCAGTGTTCTCTTTTCTTCTTTTCAACAAAGGAGGTGTTTCAGTTTTCAACTTTTTGTTTCTTTTTTTTGAAACAGTTGTTTCATTTGATTATTATCATAGGTGGTCTGTTTCATCCCACTTTCAGCTCATTTCAGGTTTGAAATGCACTTCTGGTGGGTTACTATTGTTCTTCTCCTCCCAACTTTGGTAATCGCTTATTCAAAGCAATGTTCCTATGAGCAATATCGTATAATTAAAGAATGCAGTGATGTAAGTTGGAATAAAAATCTAATGAGTTATTCGAAATATTTATAGAATGTCACCAGTAAATATCGACCAGGCAGCAGTTTGACAACTGTATTCAAAATCTGTAACCAAGGTCGTAGATGTTTTGAAAAAATCCATTGTCAAGGATCCATTGAAGCTAACAATGTTTTGCAAGCCGGATGTGAATACCAATATTTTCTTCAAACCACCTTCAAAACTTGCCTCGACATAATCAACGAAAAAACCAATTGTCTGCAAGCTATGCCACCAAATTACACCAACGATCTTGAAGCTCCTCATTGCGCAATTTTCAAATCAATCTACCACTGCGTTATTCCAGCAATCAGAGAACATTGTGAAAGTGAAATTCTTGTTGATACATTCAAAGAGGTAACCAATTATTCAAATGTGTTATTTTCATATAAAAAAATGTGATTTCAGAAATATCTTGCTCACAACGGTATGTCCTACGATTGTGAGCCATTTGAATAAACCAAAAAAAAACGACGATTACGAAGAAAATAATTGTAGATTCATTCTTTATAAATTCGAAAAATGCAATTTTTGGTCATGTGTCTATTTTTCTGAATAAATGAATTAGAATGTTTGTTTTGTTTCATTTTTCACCTATTTTTAGAGATAAATTTAGTGGGCGCAAAAATGACGGAACATTTTGGACAACAATGATGCGGATTAGATTTTTCCAATTTGATATTTCAGAAATCACTTTTTTTATTACTATGTTAACTTTGGTCAAGTATATTTTATTCTCCGTTGGACATCATCATAAACGATTGATCTATTCTTGATTGTCTCCTGAATTAATTTTTGATTCAATATTGCAGCTTGCATAAATTAATCCACAGACCATTTTTTTGTTCAACTCGTCATCTCTCCTAACATAAGATTGGCCTAATTTGCCTTTTTCGGACCTACGGGCCTTTCTTATTATTATTATCTCGGCGATTTTTTTGTCTACTCACATATATATCTTATAAGTTCCATTGTAAATCGGAAAATTAAGACAAAAACACAAGGATTCAGAGATCCATTTTCAGATGGGCGATATTATCATCATATGTCACAATCTCATGATTTCTCGTCTCACTTTTTTTTTACAAAAAAACGTCAAAGTTCAGATAACTGTAATGCTCAAAAGTTTAACAAGAGCAGAAACCAAAGTCATTCCAGTAATTGTGAGCATTTTCAAAAAGTCAAAGATTCAACTCTCCAGACTTGTCATAAACTTTTTCAGATTTTTTTGTCGCAAAAAAGTTTTGTTTAATGTGCGCCCATGCAATGTTCTCAAAAAACATACCACCTACTGACTTTTCAGCCCAAACTTCATTTTTCAGCTGCTGTTGAACAGTTGTCATTTCCTAATTTTTTATGCCTCTTCTCATAGGAGGTCCTCTTATAAGCGGACTCAAAAGCGAGAAGAAACATCATATGCATTTCGAAATGAGACGCTGTTTGGTTGCTTTGCTATTCTTTATGCCCTTGTTGGCTGTCGCTTCGACAAATGAAACTCAATTCGAAGAAAAATGTACTGAAGAACAGGCTACCGCGGTTGAATTGTGTGTTAATGTGAGTAACTTTATAAATTTAATTTCGTTTCAAAATTTTATTTAATTTATTTTTATTCCAGTCGGTTCAAAAAGCTGCAAGAGGAGTTGTGAACAATCTTCCAGCCACCAAAAGAGTCTGTGAAATGGGTCACGATTGTTTTGAGAAAATCAAATGTGCTGCATCAACTCATCAACGTAACACATTGGTTGCTGGATGTGATTATGATATCTTCCTTACAACTGTATTCAGAGATTGTCGAGATATGATTATGACTAAATCCGATTGTTTGTCAAATTATGGCAACTCAAGAAATCACTGCGAAGCATCACGCGAATTGCTCAGATGTGTTCTTCCACTTGTTAAATCGGAATGTGGAAGTGATACTTTGGGCGAAATATTCAGAAAGGTAGCTAAACATTTTGAGGAGATATAATGTTGTAGTTTTATAAATTTTCAGAAATTCGCGCTTCACAACAATTTGTCCTTCGATTGTGGATTGTAAATGTGTTGAGATAACTTTGAAATTATAATTTTGAAACACAGTGAATAAATCTTTTTTATATGTTTATGATCGTTATTTCTGAAGTTGATTTTCTCAGGGATCTGAAAAGTTGATAAAAATTTCAAATCCCTGTTCAAAAAAAGGTTCCAAGCTATAATTTTTTTGCATCTCATTGATGAATATTGTTGATGAATATCAAGAATATTTATATGAATTTTTCAAATATGTGTTTTTTGAAAACCATTATTGACGATTCTTAGATTTCAACAGAATTGTATCTGAAGGATGTGTATTGCTCACAATTTCCAGATAAATATCAGGTGCCAACTTAATTAATACAATTTTCATCAATACCATTAACCATTTCTCAAAACAAAAAATAGTTTCCCAGTAATGTGTTCTGTTTTTGAATTCATTTCGAAAGGTCATAAATGTTTCAGGAAAAAAATATTCAAAGTACCATGTTTTATGAGCTTTTTGAAGTTTTTTTTCGAAACGTTGAACAAGGTTTGAAAGTCTGGAACAAAAAGGAAAAGACTGGAAAATAATTTTTTGGGTTTTGAACTACAGCGTTTTTATTAAAAAACATACGAAAAAAGAATCACTGTTTTTATCAGAGATCGTGTTTTAGCTTTTTCAGATGCAAACATATTTCACTAGTGTTTTTAATATAACACTTTTTGACCAAAAATCGATTTGTATCCGGTTGATCAGCGAAGTTTTGGTTTCCAACCAACTTGTTGTAAAGTTCATCCTCACATGATATTTCATTAGAATGTTGATTTTTTACAGAACAGTTGTCCTTTTGTTTTTTTTTGTTCTGAATACCAGGAAAACTTTGAAGTAGTTTAACAAACGAAAAAAAACAGAAAAATTGATGATATTTCAAATAATTAGAAATAGATTAAAAATAACTGATTTCAAATCCACCCACTTGAAAAAGGTGATAGATTTCAAAAATATATGTTCAACATCAACAACTGTTGATCATTCAAATTTTTTGATATCTCTTTTCTCACATTATGTCTGATCTGATATCTTTTTTAATATACCACTCAATGAGAGCACTTTTTCACTTTTTGGTTTTTATTATAATTGGAATTATATTAACAGTATTATGTGTTGTGATAACTACAATATTATTTGCTGAAAATTCCCATCAAAGAGCTCCTCGCTCGGAAAAACGTATAATAATTGATGCAGAATGTATGAAACAATATAAAAATGAAACAAATTGTGTTTCTGTAAGTTTTCCAAAATATTTTTTTGTTAAATCCCAAGTTCGAATTCAAATTTCAGTAAAAATTAATTTCAAGAATTTTGAAGAAAATTTTTTTTCAGAAGCATATTGATAAAGTTTATCTGAACTATTCAAATCAAACTGAACTCGTTAATGGATGTTTTGCTTCTCAGCAATGTATCAGATCGAATTGCGAAATATCGAAGTTATTTAGTGATTTGATTTTGGAAATTTGTGACTACAAGCATTTCTATGTTACTACTCTCAAAACATGTATTGATGAATTAAGAAAAATTGATAATCGATTAGATAAAGACATTTCTGCGAACGCTGAAAAAATCAACGAATTTTGTTCAAACGGATCAAAATTATCACAGGTTTATTTAGAAGTAAGTTGTTACACACAATTATTGTCAATCAAAATATTTTTTTCAGCATCACAAAAAAATAAGAGAAGCTCAAAACCAAACTTCAACTTTTTCGGATATCAAGTATTTGCCAAATTCTTAAATCTCATCTATAAACTTCAATTTTTCGTTCACATGTTTTTTCTTCTTTTTTTTTTGAATATAAGAATGTTTGAATAATTGGCTCAATCGTAAATTCTTTCGTACACATTCAGTTTTAGAAAGCACTCACTCATTCGCACGGATGAAACTTTCGATAAGCATCGGTATTTTGATCATTACTTTTTTCATACTTTGCGCGTGTTTTCATGAATTACATGCATATTATTACTATTATTCCGGTATAAGAATCAAGAATCAAAATGTGACGTTTGAATGTCTCAGAGACTATGAAAGAGAAATCGAATGTGTTTCTGTGAGTTATTAGTGTTACTTTTCTGAATTAATTGTAAATCTTTAAAAAAAAAATTATATTTGTTGTGCGAAAAATTTGCTTTTCAGAAAAAAATATATCTAAAGAAGGAAAACATTTTTTCAAATTATGTCTTAAAAGATATTAATTTTTTTTAATATCGAAAAAATTTACAGGATAAAGCTATCAAACTCCATCTGGAATCAAAACCTGAAACTGTTTTCGAATATTGTGGTGCGATTGAAAAGTGTTTCGAATCAAAATGTCACTTGTCATTATTATATCATTGGGAGTTGATATTGTTCTGTGATTACAAATTATTTTTTGTCGGTAGTATGGGAAAATGTGTTGAACAACTTTTTGAGAAAGATATCAAACTTGTTGGTGAAGTCGATCAAGATGGGGAGAATATTCGGAAATATTGCGATAATGGGGCAGATATCGCAGAGTTATATACAGTGGTAATTCAATTTTTCTTGCATTCAAAAATATTTTTATCAATGTTTTTTTTTCCAGAAACACAACGCATTGGCTGTAGCTCGTGGGAAAATAGGAGAACTTGTCGATCATAATTGAACATAACACTATGTCTTTTATGATTTTAATATGTTTAATATGATTTCTAATAAACATATTTATTGTTATTCAAACCACATACATAATATACCCATTAAAGGGTCAATGTCGTAAAAATATTTTAGGATGCGCAGATAATAAGACGGGACTAATGGAACATGCACATTTGACAGCTGGAAGTGCGCATCATAAAAGTTATATATATATTTTTAAATGAATATATTATTTGAGAGAGAGAGTTTTTATTTTTCAGGGGTTGACATATTTTTGAATTTTTTGGAAAATTTTTGATTTTTTTCAATTTCAAACACAGATCTCACAACAGATTTTGGAAACAAAAATCTATAGGAATCAAAATTTCAGATTTTTTTAAACAAGCGTGTATAAAACAGATATTTCATATTATCGCAATTCTGTTGAATTTCACAAACTAATACAGTGTTAATTGAAATGTTTATGTTTGCAATAACTCAAAATTTAAAAACAAAAAATTTTTCTTATTTTCATTTCATACTTTTATTAGAATCATGAATCTTGAGTTATCACATTTTATAAAATTGAAACATGCTTGTTTCCTTGTTGATTCAGTTTCCTACTGTCATCCATACTTTGAACTTACAATTTTTCCTCAAAACGTCATCTAAATTAGTATCGTTTGTTCGGTATTTTCTATTAGGTGCTACTTTTCGTTTACTATGTTTCTATTTCAGGACAATGTTTACATCGTCAATTACAAACATCATTAGTTCAATCATTTTTTTATTTTTTGAGGATGACGATTTCAATATATACATAAATAAATAAAAATAAATAAATAAATAAATTAGAGAATAAAATACAGAATGAATATGTCAGCATAGTTTACAAGACTTTCCACAGAACTTCAATTTCTGTCGTGTTGTATAGAGGGAACTTTCACAAAATCCTTCAGCAGCCCATTCTTCACAATCTGATCGGCGATCTCGACAATCTCGGATTTCAGTGGCTGTCTGAACTAATAAGTTATTGGAAAAAATAAGTTAACATAACTTACAATATTAACCAAATGACATCTAGCACAAGTTCTTGCACAGTTTGTCGTCATAAATTGTTTATATCCCAATTTGTCGCAAAGATGTGACAAACATCCAGTTAAATGGTCAGTGCAGTTGATTTGCGGTGTAAGAATACCTATAAAAATGAAGAATATACTTACATTTAACACAAAAAATAAGAGTTCCGGAAAGCGTGACTCACAACATTGCCCTTCAACACATCCATGTCCTTCTGGACATTTATCAGCGATACATTCACCAATTGGAGCCCCAACTGGACAAACAAATGTTTCATTTTCTTCGTTTGGCGGTGGTATTTCTGTTACTTCTATAATCTCTTCTCTTGTCGTTGGTTCTTCTGTAGTGGTTGTAGTGGTGGTAGTAGTTGTCGGTTTAGTTTTCTTATTTTTGACTCTTTTTGGTTTTCTTGTGGTGGTTGTTGGTTTTTCCGTCGTTGTGGTTGTAGTTGTTGTAGTTGTCGATTCTTCTTCTTCTTTTTCCTCTTCTAATTCAGAATCTTCCTCATCAATAATTTCTTTTCTCAAATCTTCTGGATCTTCTGTTGTTGGTTCGGTTGTTGAAACTGTTGATGCAGCTACAGTTGATGATGATAATTGTTCGATTGATGTATTTTCATCACTGCTTTCTACTTGTGGAGCAACTGTTATTAAAGATATTGGGGATGATTTCATCATGGGAAGTTCTTCTTGTTTTGTTTTCGCTGTAGATTTTGGATTTTTTATATGAATTATTTCTAAAAACGATGCCGCATGCCAAAACATTCAACCAAACAGATAAACTATTCAAGAAAAGATCGAAATCGTGCACGTATATAAATGTATTTTCGGTATTTTTTTGGTCGTTCGAGAAATGGTGGACAATGTTTCAGTTTTCAATTTGAACTGACGAAATTCACTGGACATTATAATTATTTTTTCGGAATTAAATTCAAAATATCTGAAACTTCGTTGGCAGTTTCCTAGCCTAAAACGCGGTGATGATTTTCCACATAACTAAAAAAAAGGGATACCGTAATCCAAAACTACCATTTATACTCAAAATTCAGTTAGTTGAATGAACAAATCGATATAAAAATCATTTGGAAATTTAAATATTTCAAAGATCCAATTCAATTCAAGATAAAACTTTCCTAGAAGATTGATGTCAGGGGGATAAAAACTCCAATGTTTAAAAAACAACAAACTTTGTTAGAAATCTAAGCAACTTCGGAAACATCTAGATGGTTCAAAAACGCATAGAAGTCAAATCATGCAACTCACATTTCAAAAAAAGTTTCCTTCTTTTTGGTAAAGTCTCTAAATGTGGTTTTCATCATAATTTTTGTTTCAATATTATTGCAACTCACCACAACAAGTATTATTCTCACAAGTATAACCCATCGGACAAGAACTCGATATACATTCACCAATTGATCTTCCACCAGATGAACAAACTCCATATTCATTTTCATCAGTATCAACTTCGATTGTCGTTGCAGTCGACGATTTCTTATGCTTACCTAGAGGGCCTTTATAAAAATTTGTAAAGCGAGAAAAAACCAAGGATTTGGGGAGGGGAGCACTTACAACAATACGAATTTATACATTCTGATCCTGCTGGGCATAATCCAACAAGGCATGCTGAAAAAGTATATATTTTTGGAAGTAATGTTTTAGTTAATGATTTACCTCCAATGGATTGTCTTCTACCTGGACAAACATCAAAAAACCTCGATGAAACTAATACAACGAATGATCCTAATATTAGAATCTGCGATAACTGGACCATTTCCAGATTTCGTATGAAAAAAAGTGAATAATAAATTACTCGTTTTATATACCCTGAAATTCTTATGTAAATTAGGTCGTGAACTAATTTAAATAAAAATAATAATATTTGAGAACGGTTTCAGGTGACTGATGAATCCACAAAAATGTGCAAATAATGAATGTGTGTTCATCATAATATGGGGGGAGGTCACGCCCACTTGATTCATCCGAAAATAATGAATTGAAAATAATCGGAATATTGACAAAAGTACTTGAAAAGGTGCCGATGGATGGGATGTCTCACGGTTTTGCGCAAGAGTGCTCCCTTTCCACAAAAAAACGATACTGACTGAAATGTTACAAAAAATGGCGATGGATGCACCTGTCTATATTTGTTTGTTTGTTTGTTTTCGATTTTTGGATGAATGAGATCATGTTGTTTGGAATTGTTGAGAAGAAAAATCAAGGAGTGGTGGTTTTGGTGATGAATAACGGGCAAAGATTGATATTATTCAAATATATTATTTACACGGGAAGCCGAATAGAGCAATGAAACACATTTGTTTATGGCGGGGATTATAAAATCAAAACTTGGCGCAGATCAAAAAGTTTGAAGAGAAGGAAGTTTGAAAGTGAATGACTAGGGGCTGTTCTCCTAGTTGAGCGTGTCTTCCTTTTGCAGTAACTAAAAACACCAAGTAATGTTTGTTTGACAAATTTGAAGATAAAAACAATAACTTAATATTTGAATAAATATTTATGATCAAGTCAAAACCAAAAAAAAATATAATTAAAAATACACAATTCGCGGAGCCAGAAAAGTCGTTAAAGCAAAGGAGCATAAAATACGGGGATTCTTTGAAAATTTGAGTGTTTGTCTTTTTTTTCGAAATCGCACTGGTTCAAAGTAAATTCGTTCAACAAAATATTCGGTTTTATAATACAAATTACGCTTGCGTAAAACAAAAAAAATCCGGAGCAGAAACATCCAAAATAAAAAAGAGATTAGAATTTCACCACCAAAAATCATATGACTGGAATACTTGATTGAGGAGAATAAAAAAAATTATGTATAAAATTAAAGGACACCAAAAGAAGAGCAAAACAAAAGGAATGAGTGAATGCGGTTACCAAACAAAATTGAGGAAGGGAGATAGTTAGAACATTTTGATAGAAAACAAAAAGAAAGAATTTTGAAGGTAGATACAATCGTATTATCAATGAGGAAGAGAGGTGAGTGAGAGTGCGTTTCATCAATTTTAACATTATTGTCGATTTGATTGTGGTGGAGCTGTGCGGCGCATACGATTCAAGTTCTGCTGAAAAAAATATTATATTGATTTATATAAGAACATTTTATTGATCTATTATTAATTTCGAATTTATGTCAGAAAAAAACTCACATTTGGCCAATATTTGCTATTTATCGCTGGTGGTTGTTGATTCCAACCTTGAGCTTGTGGTGGAGGTGGAGGTGGACCATTCATAAAATTGGCATTGTTCACACCAGGCCAGACCAGTTGTTCAGATGGATGGAATGGGCGTTGAGCTGAAAAAAGTTGGAAATTCGTGAATGTCAGAGAGAATAGAAAAAAAACTTTTGAATGAAAAAATATGGCTTTTTCAAAATTCTAGAATGAAACCAGAATCAATCAATATTTGCTTGAATTCAATAACAGAAAGTCAACCAAACTCAAAAGATGACAGTTCAAAGATTATTATTATATCCAAGTGGAACAATTTGACGGAAAAATATAATATATAATTTTGATTTTATTTGAATCTCTTCCAGAATCTGGAAAGGAATTTCCAGATTCTAAAATTTCCTGATCATCATAAATATTTTTATTCGTTCAATTTTCACAAATTTTAGTCCCTTTTCCCCCAAAAAAATCTCAAAAAAGAACTCACGAATGCGTCCAGCGTTTGCATAATAGTTCATACAATTATCTTGTTGTGTAGCACCATTCGGCGCCATTCTCAAATGTGGAGGCTGCTGCACAGGTGGTGGCGGTTGGTTGAAGAAATTGGGGAACGCCGCTTGACCTCCGCCATTTGTCGTCAATCCATTCATTGGGTGTCGATTGTTGGTGGCCGAATTTGGTGGAGCATTGGACGCGTTGAACATATTATTTGCTCGTTGACTTCCGACAGCCAAATTGGCCGGTGGTAAAGCGGGACGATCAAAATATTGATGTTGTTGTCCACCGAAATTGGTGCCGTTTTGATTGGTGGTTGAAAAATAACCATATGCTCCATTGCTGTTGGAGAAAATTGAGGGTGGAGGCGTTCCTGAGAGAGCTGCGATATCCAAATGACCAGAATTCCAAATATTATGCGGTTGAGCCAATCCAGTACCTCCTAGAAAACGAAATAATCAAAATTATAAGTTTCATACACCAATTCTGATTTTTTGATAAGTCAAATCCAAATGTTTTCCAACCAAAAAAATCTTACTGAAAAACTCACGATTATCCATTTGTTTCGTTGTGTAATTCGACAAATAATTGTTTGGCGGAGAATTTGCCGTGTTAGCAAGTCGACCATCATTATTTTGATAAAGCGGCTGAAATGCTGAATAATGTCCAGAGAATGGAGCCAAACTATTATTTGGTGGACCAATTGGACCATTTGGAACCGGCATATTTGATGATGCACCAATTGTTGGATTGTTTGATGCTCCTCGACAAGATGGTTGCACAAATCCTTCTTTAACATTGTCCAACACTACAACTTCTCCAACTTGTGGCTGCGGTTTCACCATTGCAACATTTGTTCGTTCACCATCGGAGACAACAGTCCAAAGATCTTTGATTCGAATCATTTTCTCTTTCAACGATGCATCGTCTGATGAAACAGCAGAAATAACTTGTTGAATTGCTGCTTTTTCAATAGTAGAGTTACCCTAAAAAATTTCTGGTTGTTTTCAAATTTACTGAAAATTTAAATTGAAACATACATGAAACTGTGGATCAAAAGTGAAATCATAAGCTTCTTGGTCAGCAGAGCTCACTTCAATTTCTTCAGCAAACTCAATTGAGCCACAATTTTCGGGTTCTTTCTCAACACCAACCAAATTGCTCATTTCAGTGACGATAGCATTAAAACCTCGATCGATTTCGGCTTCATCTTTACTTTTTCCAGATTTTCCAGACAATAATCCATTTGCTGGAAGATCGTCAGATTCTTTGCGTAGAGCTTTTGGAATAAACAATCGATTTTCTTGTCTAGCTGCCTTGTTTTTAGCTTGCTCCTTTTTATTTTTACCGCCAGCGGTTTTTTGATTCTCATCAGATTTATTATCTTCAGAAGGTGCAGCTTGTTGTGGTTTTACTTCTTTCTTCTTTGCCAAGCTTTTCGGGCTCTTTTTCTTTTCAGAAGTTTCGTCATTCGTGATTTTTTCTTTAGAAATCGCATCACTTTTCACACCATTAGTAAAACGGTTACGGATTCCACCTCGAGCTCCACGTTTTTGAGTTGTATGTCCGTTTCGACCGCTATCCTGTAAAAACTTTTGTTGACTTTTCATATCAAAAATCTGAAAAAGTAAACATACATGTGATAAGTTGCTGCGATGAGAATCTTTACGATCTCTTCCCGGAGCAACCAAATTCTGCTCATTTTCATCTTGACGATTTTTCTGTCCTTTTTTGAATTCAAGATTCTCGTCAGAAACATCATCAGAATTCACAATCTTTTTAGGATCAGCTTGAATATTAGAATTAATAGTAGTAGAATTAGTAGAATTAGATTGTGCAGATGATGGATACAACCTTCTGACATCATTTGATGCCGGAAGTTTTCGAGCTCGAATTGCGGCTCTCGCAAACTCTGAATCAATCGATTTTCTCGTTGATTCTTTGTCAACTTTAATTGTTGCCGCTTCAGTAACCAATGGGAAATGTTGCTCAATAGCTTGTTGCATAACGCGAGGAATCGCTGATTTCTCTTTCTCCCGTTCTTGAGATTCGCGTTCTTCTTGTCGTTTTGCCCATACATTTTCCATTTGTATTGGTGTTTGAGAATCGTCTCCATTCAAAGAATCGTCAGTTTTAGCGAATTCTGATTTTTCGATTTTTTGCGAATGTTCTTGTTTGTTTTTCTTGGAATTTTTCTTTCCATTGACCGCCGACGAAGAACTATTGGATTTATTGGAAGAATTATTTCCAGGCGAATTTTTCTTTGTTCCATTTGTCAAAACTGGAGCATGAGAATTGCCTTCAGCACCAGCTCTTCTTTTAATAATGTTCACATTCGGCTTATCCAAACGAGTCATTTGAATTTCTGAAAATAAAAATGTTACAGGATTCCAATGTTTTGAATAAAGTAATCACCTTCATCATCATCACTGATATCTTGAAGTAACAAATGTTCAGTTCGTTTCAAAATTCGAATATCATTCGCTCGGTGATGATTTGTATCGCCATTCACTTTTGTCCGATTGCTCACTTCAGCCTTCGGAGTTCCACTAACTGTTGTGGCCGTTTCCGATGGATTAGGTGAACCATGTGAAGACCATCCACTTTCCTCTGTCGAACAATTCCGATCTTTGTCTTGTTGCGAATCAAATCCTTCATCGTCACCTGAAAAAGACAAAAGTTTTTTTTTGTAGAAAAAAGTGAAACCCAGACAGACATTTTCTCCCAATTGAAAATAAATAGAACTACTATGAAGGCAACCTTTTTCAGATAAAAACTAGAAAATTGATTAACTTTCAGATATACGTGTCCTCTTGTTTTTAACCAGTAACCCAGTTGTTACCCTTAATCAATTTTGTGAATTTTACTGGAAAAGATTACCTTTCAGAGGTAAACTTAATACTACAATAGACAACATAAAACAAAGGGTAACAACAACATTGAAAAATATAATCCCTACAGGTAACAAAATTCTTCCTGATGTGTACCCATTCCGGGTGTTGGCATCTGACATCTTGACTACCCACTGAAGAATTTAAGATTTTTTTCACATATACATTTTTGAAGCATGTGTTGTGTGTGAAATAGATATTTTAAGGTTTCTCGTGTTTTTTTTGTTTTGAAAATATAGAATGAAAAAAGAACTCACTGATTCGATTATTTTTCGACTTAACATTTTTAGTAGATGTCGAAGTATTATCGAGGAATCTTGAAGGTACTCGATCTGTGAAATCTTGTGCTGATTTCTTCTCAACAATCGGTTCCACTTTGGCTGAAAAAACGTTAAGTTAATTTATTGCTAAACAAATTTTGATTTAAAAATCTCACCCTTTTCAGAACTTGTTGTTGGCGGTGGGAGTGTTGCTGATGGTGTTGCATTTGTTGGCACATCTTTTGGCTCACTGGCTCCAGACTTTTCATTCTGAAGCCAAGAAGGGCGCAAATCATTTGTTGGTGGTGAAGCGACAATTGGTGGAGCTGAATTTGGCGCAACTGCTGTTGTTGCAGCCGGTGCGCTCGGAATATCAATGCTCTCCGTTTTGCTCCATCCGGATCCCCCTGAAAGAAAAAAACAAATAGAATGGAAGGGAAAGTGGTCAATGAACTAATTGTTGACAAGTTTGTGACGACAAAAATTAAATTAGTGGCTAATTTGTTTTTTTTTCTTTTGTTTGTTAAGGGAACATTTGAACCAATTACATTTTCAAAGAATTATGTGAATGAATCTTGAAGAAAAATATTTTCTTTAATTTGAATTTTAAAGACACTAAATTGATACAATTCAGACTTTAGGTACCCAATTTCTCCAAACAAATGGCTGAACAAAAAACGAAAACCAACCTTGGGGTACAACCTGAGTCGTTGGATCCTGTCCATTATTCTCCGCTTTTAGTGAAGGTAATGTGGCAGGCGGTGGCATACGACGAACAACGCCGGCAGTTTTTCCAACAGATTGCATGCCATAACGGCCTGAAAACCACCACATTTTCTCTCTTTCTCATTAACTTCTATCAAATGCACTTACCATTTGCCCGTTGCCCGGGGGCAAGATTACGTCCAGAGAAAAATGTATTTACGTTAACTGCTTTTGGCTTAATGGTGCCCGGAGCACCTCGATTTAGAGACGACATGCGATCTGCAAAAATCATAGAATGAATGAAAATATGACTCATGATAATGATTTTTTTTCGGATATGATTTGATTTGTCATCCGATTACTCACTCAGACAAAAAATATAAAAACATAGACGTGAGATCAATGATAAGCGCCAGTTCTTCCTATTAAACGAGAACACCAATACCTGAAATAAGAACAAATGAGTTATTTTCATTTCACACCAATTTAAAATGAAGAACACGAGAAAAAGAAAACAACAGACAGAGAGCGGGAAAATATGAAAAAGTAGTAGTTATTATGCAAATAACGAGAAAATCGATAGAAACAAACCAGCGGGGGAAAAACGAGTGGTCCGTCCACTCTCATATGTTTTTATTGATTCTCGCAGATTTCCCAGGAGGAATACGACATAGCTCCCCCCTTTCTTCCTTTTTTTCTCCCACCCAGTTCTTCTTCAACTTGTGCACTTCTGCACTTTTTGCGCACTTTTTTGTGGCAAATGAATAATTTGAACTATTCGAGAGCTGATGAGAAAAGGGTAGTTTTTGAACACATGCGAACGAAACAAAAAAATGAGAAAGAGAATAATGTAATGTAATGTGTTTGTTGAATTGATTTTGAACGAAAAAATAGGCAGACACACATTTTTTCATAGGACACATTGAATTATAAAACATGAGAGATGGATAAGAAAATCGATATGTTATGATAATTATAGGGTGAAGAATTTGGGGAAAATGGAAAGAAATGAAAATGAGACACCTGCAAACTAACACCATCTGTTGAAAATTTTGCGCAAATATGTACAAAATTTATGGGGTCAAAGAAACGATACTAAACATTTCGAAAGTTTGAATAGGACCAGAGGAACCGTTGATGTTATGTAAAAAAAAACAACAAGATCTTTTAGTAGAAACGTTTTTTCAGATTTGTCTGAGCCCGACTTAAAATTAGGCAATCTTCAGACATCCTTACGATCTGCTCCAATTTAAAACCTTCCCTAGATTTCATATGTAGGAAGAAACTACAATCCTATTAAAAAATCAGAGTTTTGCTGAAAAATTCATCGTTAAAAAGAATTTCTAAACCCTGGATTTTATGGAGGTCATAAAATATTTATGAAATTTCTGCACCCAGCCAAATGCATTTCACTATACTTACATTAAATATAGAAAAAAAAGAAGTAGAAGTCCACTCAGAAAACCAAGAGTAACCCGCGCGACGAGCCACCCGAAATAAAATTGGATTAGGAGAGTAGGGAGTCAGGACGTGCTAGTGAAATCAATTGCATTTGCAATACTACTCTACTCAAAAAAACATATAAAGAAAGAAAAGCCAATTTGAAAGAGCCCCAAAAAAGGATTATTCCATGAATTTATGGGATTCGGATGTCGTTTATTTTTCTGACGAAAGGAATATTCAACAAAATCGTAAAAAGCTAGCACATTTCTCGTCATGACAACAAAAAGTGGGTCTAACCATAAAGTAATAGAAATCATCAATCCAAAAAAAGCTCTAAAAATGAAAGAAAGAAATAATAAACGCAACGAAGCGAAAAACGTATATACAAGACGCCAAAAATACATCAATAAGTGAAAGGGGAAAATGCGCTCTAGTGCTAACGCGTCTCACAGGGTCGCCTTCTTCTCAACGAACATTTGTTTTTGTTGTGTTTTGGCTGCCTTTTCGTATATTCTTGCGTGGATTTTTGTTGTTGTGAAAAAATAAGAAGGAAAAAAAGGAAATGAATATGGGCCTGACTTTATGAATAAAAAGGTCTTGCAAAAAATAATAAATATGTATATATTTTGAAGAGATCGGTCTTTTTTTCAAGAAAACCTATCTATTATTTGCGAAGAACATCGAAAAGTATTGAATTACGTTTACAAATAAATTTTTTTTTGCGGATAAAGCAACGAAAAGATAATTTCCTAACGATAAAAATATGCTGTTTTTCTAGAATAAAACTAGGAAATTATTTTGATAACAATAACAAACCACGAAAAACAACTTATTGTCAAAAAACGATTTCAATGAACAAGTAAGAATTGAATGGAGTTTGGGAAATATGAAATAACAATGTTAATAGCAGGAAAAGACTAATGGAAGTAAGAAAAGGAATGCAAGAAATAAGAATGCTCTACTCGTACATTTTATATTTTACCTATTTTCTTATGATCAGTTGAGATACATACTTTATTATAATTTTCAATCGTCTTCTAATTGTTAGAACTTTCATCTTTTGAGTTTCGAAGTTGTTGGCGTAGGCCACATCAGAATTATGAATATATATGTTTTTCAGACGGGTTTCCTTGTATATGTTTTTTTTCGATTCGCTGACTAACTGTGAGATTTCGCTATTTGAATTCGAACAACAAAAAATGTTTTTGAAAAAATAAAACAAGATATGAAACTGGAAAAATTGGATTTTCAAATTCAGATAATAGTCCTGGACATGATTGAGAAGAGCTAACAAAAGTTGGATTTTATCCAGGAATTCCAAGAAACTAGGTCAAATCAAGAGTTTTGACTTAAAATTTGTGACTTCTGAGAACATAATTGAAAACATCTTGCTTTAAAAAAAGAATAATATCACAATTAAAATCATACAATCAACCAAAATTACCCTTTTCAACCGTATTTTGCAAAAAATGAACAAAATCTAGAAAAATGATGAAAATGCATAATTTCGTAGCAGCTGACACAATAATAATACATACAGACCAAAATAAAATCAAACTTTGACATCATAGGTTTTTTTTTGTCGAAAAAAAAACTTGATTTTGGAGTTTTCTTTTTACATAACTTTGAATTATTCAGAACAAACCATGCAGATTTTTAAAAAGAAAAGCAAATAAGTTTTCTTTTATATTTTTTAAAGCTGCAAAATGATATAATATAAATGTTGAGGAAACTGGAAAGTTCAATCAACGACACAATTTCGGTGTAAAAAAAACAAAAAAGGAAACGTTTAGTTCGAACATTTTCAAATCAATAACATATATCATATAGAAAATTTTCAAAATAACGTCGAATTATATCAATAATGATAGGTTTAGGAAAACCGCATATAATTGTTATGTTAATAATTTAATCAGAATGATTTATTAGAATAATTTATTTTTGAATGGGGGTATTTGAATTGACAGCTGTCAAAATTTTCAAAATATTCTTACATTTAGCAGAAACAATTATCAGTTATAAAATTGACATCAGCCTATCTTTCAATGTCCTCCCATGTGGTCTAGTGGTTAGGATTCGTGGTTTTCACCCACGCGGCCCGGGTTCGATTCCCGGCATGGGAAGCTAACGTTTTGACATTATAAAAATTGATCTATGGCACTTTTTATAAAATTTGTACTATGATGTTTTTTTGTTCAAACAACTCTATGAAATTTAATCACGTGAAGTCAAATTTGAGTATATTTGTTAAATGTAAGTTGTCTGAGTGGAAAGTGATAAATAGCTTTCTTGGCAACACTTTGGGACAAAGTAAGTGAAGAAATCAAGAAATAAACTTCAGCGTTGTTGCTTATTATTTCTGTAATCAAAGTATTGAAGATATCCGACTCATACAATTTTGATTAATAGTCAAAAGACATAAAATAATGTATTTGAAGCAACGAACTTCACGAAGAGAAAACAGAGTTATCAAAAATGAAGAATGCCATTTTCATTTTGGTTCAAAACCCTAAAATGTTTCCGCCACTACTGATGAACACAGTTATCACAAAAACATCGAATTCCGGACAGTGAAACTTTTTCTGAATCGATTTTAATTTGAACAACGAACGATGTCTCGAAAAACAGGGAGAAGATATGGAACGAATTACCGGAAACTCCCAAGTTTCAACTATTATCTGTAACTTTAACCTGAAAAAGAAAAAAAACAACACGAAAAATACCAAAAACGGTTTATTGAAATATGTAATCAAAAATATTTATAACTGAAAAAATATATCAAAATTTCTGAAATGTTTTTGGTAAAATAATTTAGAGTTCTGAAATAAACATGTTGGAATGAAAATTTCAAATATAGTCAAAAATTTCCAACATGTTTCAATAATTTTTAAATTTTGAGTTTCAATTCGAGACTCGTCATGCTAAAAATGCAGAGATATCTCACAAAAAATATGCCAAAAGAGGGTTTATTATAACTCTGCTTATTAAACTGCTGAATTAACGTTCAAAATTCTCAGCATAAAATTTTCACTCTTTCACCGAATACAGAACTTTACTCTCTCAAAGAACATTTATGCACTACACAACTAATTTGTTTGATATTTGGACTTTTCACTATTTTATAGATTGAGACAGTGATTTGCTTTTAATTTTACAGAGACGAACTCGTTTTCATATTTCAATAGTACAGTTGTGAGCTTTGAAGTGAGCTTTTCAGTTTAGAAATTACAGACAGAAGGTTTTCGTATATTTTGAGAGATGGCTTAGGATTGGGGCGTTTTCGATAGGAAATTTCAACATTACAGTCATTCAAGATATATTTTTAGAGAGTGATATGCTTTTAATTTTACAGAGACATACTCGTTTTTATATTTCAATAGTACAGTTGTGAGCTTTAAAGTGAGCATTTCAGTTTAGAATTTACAGACAGAAGATTTTCAAATATTTTTGAGAGATGGCTTAGGATTGGGGCGTTTTCGATAGGAAATTTCAACATTACAGTCATTCAAGATATATTTTTAGAGAGTGATATGCTTTTAATTTGACAGAGACATACTCGTTTTTATATTTCAATAGTACAGTTGTGAGCTTTAAAGTGAGCATTTCAGTTTAGAATTTACAGACAGAAGATTTTCAAATATTTTTGAGAGATGGCTTAGGATTGGGGCGTTTTCGATAGGAAATTTCAACATTACAGTCATTCAAGATATATTTTTAGAGAGTGATATGCTTTTAATTTTACAGAGACATACTCGTTTTTATATTTCAATAGTACAGTTGTGAGCTTTAAAGTGAGCTTTTCAGTTTAGAAATTACAGACAGAAGGTTTTCGTATATTTTGAAAAGATGGCTTAGGATTGGAATATTTTCGATAGGAAATTTCAACATTACAGTCATTCAAGATATATTTTTAGAGAGTGATATGCTTTTAATTTTACAGAGACATACTCGTTTTTATATTTCAATAGTACAGTTGTGAGCTTTAAAGTGAGCATTTCA